TCTTGTGTCTGTGGAGTCCCTGTTTATGTAGATTAAAAAAAAAAAAAAAACAACCAACAAATGGGGAATATTGTTAATCCATTGCTTTGCTGCAGTGCTGTCCTGTCCAGAGGAGATGCCAGCATCCTAACATTGATTTTGTGTGTCTGGAGAGATCCAAATTTGGACTGTGGTAACACCTTCAACTAAATGTTGAGTAAGGGTGAAAAGCCTGAACTAGAACAGTGGAACAGATTGTCCTCAAAAGGAGCTTCGAGCCATTGAGATGCGTGCTGCTGGCATCAGGAGAGCACTCCATTGATTCACTTAGACAAAATCTCAGGTGTGGCTGAGGTTTGGATGCATATGTTGAATGGTGACATTGCAAACTGAAACCTGAACTATAGCTTCCATTTCAGGCCAGGAAAAAGTGCTACTCTGATTTCAGCCTATTGAGTCACCTTCCTACTTATTTTGCCAATGTTTCCTTCAGCTAAATGGGAGAAGTCGGGAACTGAGATGTGAAATTGCTGGTTTGAAAATCAAGCCAAAAAGAAAAATCCTTCAGGGGAAACAATCGGCATCTTCATGGTTGATAAGAGGTTATTAAAATGGAGAAAATAATTGCTTGCCTTGTTACCTTTTCAGATGGAACGACTGTTGCCCTTGTACGTAATTTCTAGGCAATTACAGGTCAGGATGAAGTAATTAGATGACAGAATGATGAAAAAGAACAATTTCTTGTCTCTTATCGTGAGTTGAAGGAAGTAGGCATCACTCCTTGGGAGTAAATATTTGGCTTTGTAATGCATTAGCGTGACATATCGTATTTCAGATCCCAGGCTTGAATTCTGGTTTGCCCCTTCAGGTTTCATTCTCTTAGTTGATTGTGAAAGCAACATTAAGTGTGTAATTCTGCTTCCCTCATCTTCCCTCATCTCAGATTCAGAAGGAGGACTGGGGTGAATGCTGTCCTTGCTTGATTGCAGTGTTAAACAAACAAATATATTTAACGTCATGATCGTAACAGCACTCTAGATGAAAAACAATCCATGCATGTCATTGTGTTCAGATCTATTCAGCTGACTCCCCCTCGTGCTGACAGCAGCCCCCTTTTCTATTCTTTATGCTGGCCTGGAACCTGGCCCTTTTAAATAAGGATGGAGAAGGGGACACGTGGCAGATAGTCTGTGCCCAGCATACATGGTCATTTCTGAATTGGAAATGTCACCTGAGAAGTCCTCATGCATTGCAACATGGTGGCAGTGTGGGTTTTTCTTGCTACTGCCCCAGATGGAGCAGGCCCAGTTCTCATGCTCAGCACCTCAGCCTGGTGTTTCCTGGCAGCCAGCTGTGTGCCTCCAGATATATCTGCAGCCAATGGGAAGTGAAGTTAAAATGGAACAGAGGGTAGGCTGCAGAGAAAGATTGGTTGTATGGAACACACCACCTCTTACCATCGTACATAAGATTGCTGCCTGAAGTACAGTGTCTGCTTGAACTTTGGCACCAATAAAGATGGCAGCGAGTCCAATTTAAAATAGCTAACAAATTCTGATGTATGGGATTCGTGTTCTCACTTTATAGTCTTAGAGGCTTAGTTAATTTGGGTTTTCTTTAATGAGTACACCTCCAGATTCTAGATTTTAATGTCTGAAGTAATTCATTAAATGAAATAACTGCCATTGTCGGAAAAGGCAGTTTGGGCCTCCTTATTTAAGGAACACAAAAGGAACATGTCCTGTGTTTGACACCAGATAAACGCCCGTTTTAATTCAGTCGTCAGCTGCAGAGAGAATAGCTAGAGTTAATTGGAAGTGAAGGAAATTAAGAACTAACTTGAAAAGGCAAGAAGGCTTTCTGGAAGCAGAAGCATTAGTAAAAATAAGGGATGTGAATAAATGTGCCTGTATTCCTTCAGTGAATTTGGATGCACTCCAGCTGTTTCATGCTTTCCTGAAAATAATACAGTAAGTTATCCCTTAATAGTTGAGTGAAATGTTTTTACAAAGAGGTGTCATTCAGATCAGATCCAGATCAGTCTTAATCAGGCGTTGGTTCAGTGACATCAAATTATCATTCAGGCTTGCATGTAAAACCAATCGTGAAGACAAGTGGTAGATTTTATGTTGCTGTATGTCAACTAAAATAGACCTACTCAGTCTTGGGTGCTGCCTGTTTAATTTCAGATATTCCAAGTCCAGTTACTCACTTGCAAAGTCATTGAGTAGTTTGGTGCTGTGTTAAACGAGCGAGTTTCACTTATTAATCTTCATTTTACGAGTGGAGGGCATTAGGAGGTGAATCATTGGCACAGCCAGGTTGCGTGCTGCTGGCAGTGCAGTGTCGAGCACCCCCACCTGTGGGCCAGTTCTGTGTGCTCACCAACGCTGCTTCACATCTCCTGAATCAGTCTGTATGTAGGAATTCTGTTAGCCAGCACAGGCTAACTGCGTGCCCGAGTCTTCTGGCAGGACTTCAGGTTCCAGGCTTTTTTCTGTCTTCTTTTTCTTACCTGGTGGCAGTTTGCAATGCAGACAGTGCGCTGCTGTCGTTTCTGCTCCCTACTGTGTTTGTTTAGCTGCAGAGCTTTCCCTGAAGGTAGTGTTGCTGTGCAAGCTGTCAAAGGAGCTTTTATGGGAGGTGATGTTGCAGTAGATCTGTCCATAGCTTTTTTCTTATGATTTATGATTGTCAGAGCAATACTAGAAGACAGCAAATTAGAAGTAGATGAAGCTACTGTAATATTGATATATTTGTGTATTCCTTGGTGCATGGAACTTTACTTTCTGTTCCAGTTGTACTGTTTGTTCCCAGAGTCAGTACATGCTTATTTTTTCCCCTTTTATCTTGCTAGTGCTCCTTCTGTTCTGGTTGGGTTTTATGCATTCTCTCTGAGTATTTTCTGTGTAATTTGCAGACGTGGTTAGGGCTGGAAGAAATCTGCCTGATGGCTGTTGGTTTAAAACCGTTGATTGGAGTCTGTTCAGATTTTTTCTTAACATTTTTGAAGGTTAATCTGGTTTGAAAATATTGCTACGTATAGGTAATATTAAAGAGAGCTATAGAGAAGACTTAGCAAAGTTGTTATACTCCAAATTTGGCTGATATTTTTGCAGTTCATACAGAGTTTGTAAAGCAAAACGTGGCCAAGACCACGTAGTTGCAGTGGAGAATCCATATATATGGTTATGTTCACCAGGTAACATAAATACCTGGTATGTACCCTTACAGTCAGGTTTCTTAGAGCATAGATGGTGTTTCTTGGAGCTTTAGGACAGGTGTGACTTTATCAGCTAACTGGGTTCCCACTCAGAGGCGAGCAGTGTCCCTGGAGCCAGAACAGCACTTGATTCTGAGGAAGAGGATTGTTTTGCTGCCCCAGTGCTGTTGAGTTGAAATGTTGCAACACCACCTCCCAACATCTGGTACCGCACCTATGTGACGAGTTCTACCTGGGATTCTACTTCAGTTTGGAAGCCTGAGTCTTTAACCTGATTTGTATATTTCTGTACCTCAGTGGAGTATAGTTCGTAGTTTGTCCTACAACAGTAGGAATCCTCCAGCCTCCACCTTCCTCAGTTTCCTTCATTTCCCTACTGTGCTCCGTATATTATCTGCAGTTGCTGCTTCTTTGAACCAAGTTACCATAAGGGGCAGAACTGTACAAGCACTGTGGGCATAGGATTGAAAAGGTATAAATTGCAGAGCGCTCTTGGTCCAGGAGCAACATCCATACAAGCTCCTTGGAGAAGGTGCTGATACTTCTGTTGGCTGGAAGTGATTTCCTTGCCCGTGAATGGGAAGCCCCTAGATTGACTCGTGCAACTAAAAATCAGCCACCACCTCTGAACCAGAAATTGACAAATGTTTGCTTCTGCTTGATCTGGCACAGGCTTCAGCCACTTACTGAAACAGCTTTTTGCTGAAGTTAACTTGCTTCATATGGGTGCTTACTAGGAAATGTTCAATTGCAGTACCTCAAGAACATTTGGTTCACAAACACTGAAAACTGATGTAGAAGGCTTTATGGTGAACAGAAACAGGAAGGAACTGAGTTGGAGCTTTTTGCAACCCTGACACAATCAGAGCGACGTGTGTGTATGTGAGCCTTGAAAGGCCATCTCTGCCTTAAGTCTAGAAGCTTAATGTCGGGGAAGCAGACAGTTTAGGGAAACACAGTTTTGTTTGGTTTATAAGTAGGTTTGAGCATTTAAAAGAATTGTTGTAGAAAGGGAGTCTTTGGAGTTCTCTTTGTTTGAAGGTCTCCTGGAGGAGTAGGGGGGAAGGAGTTTTCTCCAAAGGATGTCCATTTTGGGGCGGTGATGTTCCCGAGAGCTTTTTGTTGCGTGGAATTTCAGAGAGGAAGCGCCACAGGGTTGGTCATCTTGTTGCAGGGCTTGCTGTTTTCCTTGGGAGTTCTCATCTCAACAGAGATGAGATTATTAGAAGCACCTGCTATATTACCCAGTGCTGGTCAAATGCTGACTTACCTATTGCCATATTCTCTTAAGAGAGGCTATTGATCCATCCACGGGGTTTATTTGGATAGATCTGAGGCTGTGAAGTGTTGTGGAAGGCATTTGTTTTTGTCTGTTGGTTTCCATTTCTTGGAGGGTTTAAGCAGTAGCTGCTTTATGAATACTTGGTTAGAATTGCTTCCTTCTCTACTTTGCTGCTTAACTTAATTTTTATTTGTGTGTATCATCCAGTTTTTGGTTCTTACTTTTCAAAATTAGACTGTTTATTGTTGTTAGCTGTACCCCAGCACTGACACTTGACCTTAACAAATAATTTGCTCATATGTTTTCTTGTGAAAATGCTCTGGACTTAACGCTTCTCAGTTAGTTTCATTATTTGCTTTGTGTCCTGGGTATAATGTGTTACCATTTGGGGGGGACTTACGTGTTCAGTTGTTAGCATCTCTTGATCATCTACAGTTGATGCTCTAGTGGAAATAAAGTTAAGTGAAATGCTGAAATGTAATTTTAGGTTTAATTCTTTTACTGTTTTTCTTCTAGAACAAATTCTGTACAACATAAAACAGGAGTACAAACGCATGCAAAAGAGGAGACACTTAGAAAATAGTTTCCAGCAGACAGATCCTTGTTGTTCTACTGATGCACAGCCACATGCATTTCTTCTTACTGGACCAGCTTTGCCAGGTAACCAGAGCATTCTGTGTAATTTTGATGTGTGTTCTCAGATTCTGAGGAAATCATTTTCCGTTGTTGCTGCCTGTGTTATTTCTCTCCAGTTTCTGTTTCTTTTCCAGGGGGGCAATAATAGCATTAATCTGGAAGTTTACCAGGTTTTCTTCTTTCCCTGCCACTGATCTTGTAATAGGCTGTTATAAAGCAGCTGTCTTTGCAAAAATACATTGTAGTTTTAATATAAAATAGAAGGTTGAGTTTGTAAATGGCAACTGTCATTTGTGCTACACTGTGTAATGCTCCTAGTTTTTGTTATAGATGTCCTCCTTTTACAGCTAAGATTCCCTTTAATTTGAAGTATTCAAGTGGCACAGAAGCTCTTTGTAAAATTCCTTTAATGTAAAAGATGTGAGGAAAACTGATTATAATACTGGTTCTGAATTCCTTGCAAGCAGGACGTGGGTTATGCCCCAATATTTTTGTCTTAGGTACTTCATCTGCAGCATCATCACCATTGAAAAAAGAACAGCCTCTGTTTACTCTCAGACAAGTTGGAATGATCTGTGAACGTTTGCTGAAAGAACGTGAAGAGAAAATCCGTGAAGAGTATGAAGAAATTTTGACCACAAAACTTGCAGGTATGTTAGTAGTTCAAAATAATGTGCTAGCATGAATTCAAAAGCTTTCTTTTTTCTTCTTCTCATTTTTGTATTATGCTGTGGTGTTCTTTTTCCTGAGCTAGTCTGATTAAGGAATGAGATTGCATACAGGGCAGATAAAGCTGTGTAGACTCTTTGATAAGATTTTCTGTTCTGCACTGTCTTGGAGAGAAACTGTGACTCCTGGGTATTACTAATCAATGGAAACAGAGGTTTTATTTCACACAGAACTTTCTCTCGCTGCCGTGTTGGAATTGATCATTTCCTCTTCATTTTTTTTTTGCCAGAAAGACTTTCTATTTTACTTCTTTAAAAGCTCTTTGTGAAGGATTTTTTTTTTCCTGCTTGGAAACTGACTTCCTTTTTTTGGAATTTGGCAAGAAGACACAGTACCTAAGACTTCCCTTTCTCTTCCCAGTACTTACATTGCACTGCTGCCAGCGGTGTTGGGTAGCTGCTTCCGTGTCAGTAATTTAGCTGCATTTCTGTTCCCCTGTGTTGAATTCTTGCATTTTCTACCAATCAGCCTTGTGTCAGCTTAGCTTTTGATAAGGATCTTGTTAATGCTAGCATTGTGAAAAGGACTTTTCTTCAGTTGTCAGTGTCTTCTACTTCTAAGTGCTTTGCTAATGTCTGAGGACCTAATTTTGGTGTGTTCAGAGGTAGGTGTCTTCACAATATGATGTGGTATCTAATGCGTAGTATGATTGTAATGAGCATTTCAGGTCACACTTTGGCAGTGAGTTTGCTTTTGAATACCTGTTGCTGTTGTGTCCCACCTGAAAACACATCAAATTAAAGTTAGCCAATCTCTGGATTCAGGAGCCAGCCCTTCTGTGGGCGTTGTCCATGCAAAATGTCACCAGGCTTGTGTCAGACTGCTGGGTTGCACATGACAGTGTTGTGTCTGCACCTGAGTCTGTGTTCATGTTCTGTGCTTTCTGATCTGCCATCCTGAAGTCTGTGTTTTTTTAATGTATAACTAGCCCTATATACTTAGTTTTCTTTGGACCTAATATTTCGTTTCTAGATTTTTCTTTTTTAACCTGATTCAGGCTGATTAATTGAAACTAGTCTTTTTTTCTTCTAATTTATGTATGTTAGGAATGGAGTCCTTTCTTACATTCTTAAATGCATTTCAGTTAGCAGTGATGATGATAACCCACTGAAGACCAGATATGCTCGTTGATTTGTCTCAGACGGTCTTTGAGTCCAACTTGCAGTTCTTTACAGCAGGAACCTCTGGCACTGTGTGTTCTTGCATCAGACTGAAAGGGAACTTCTGGGAAGGGGAACAGTGCCTTCTCCTAGGGCCTGAGGGCAGCGTACAGTGAGATGAGATGAGGTTTATTTCCTCATAGGGTAATCTCCAGAAGAACTAGTTATTGCATCCCATATATCGTACCAGTAGTGAATTCTTAGTATTACACAGGAGTTGAGATAGAAGAGTTGAGCATAATTCCTTCCACAGGAGACCACTTGCATCTTTCTGCTGACAGAGTGATTATATCCTTAACTCTGTACAGTGAGGTGAAAACTCATTCTTACAGACTAGTGAAATTAATGGAAACATAACTGGAAATTGTGTAACAAATATTGACTTGCTTCTTTCAAGTGACTGAACGGAATGTTTGGATCTTGGATATTTTCTTCATTCCTTTCCTGAATCATGCTTTTCTTGGAGGTAGTTAGCCAGATACTGCCTTTTTTGTTTTCCTCTGCCATGTTCTTTGTGAGCGGAATTGCCTTTCATGCAGTGTGAGTGATGGAGTGATGAATGGAAAGCTGAGGTCTCTGTGATGCCCCGATTTCCCCTCCTGTCTCTGTTATTTGAAACCTCTGTGTTAGCATAAACTTGGGTTTGCAAAATCCTTTGCAGATTTGAGAACCAGGGGGAAAACTGCAAGGGGCTAAGTGAAACTTCAGCTTGAAAGTAGTTCTAGAACCTGCTTGTGAAAAAGAATTCTGTTACTGCAGTTTGAGTTATGTATTCATAGTAACAGTGCTTGTATTTGTGGCATTTAGCCACAGTCTTTTGACTTGAAATAGCTAAAACTTGTCATAGGGGATTCCAGTGGTGCAAGTATCTTTACAGGTGTTCATTTCAGTTTTCATCAGTTCACTATAGATCACTTTTACCTTCGGATTCCTTAACTTCCTTATGCTGAATGCCACAAACAGGGGTTTTTCAGTAAGTGTGGATTCTCAAAATTACCAAAACCAGATTTTTAACAGAGACGGTGCTACGAAGTGGCTGTGTGTGTGGACTTAAACCTGTGAAGAAGAAAGCTCGTAGCTTTGGTTCTGGACTTTAATACATTCTTTCAGGAAAAGTTCCAGTTGCTGTTGTTTTTGGAAATGGTTTCTGGGCATCAAAATCCTTCAGTCTGCTCTTTGTGTTATTTGTTGTTTGGCTAAGATCCTCACGTGGCTGCTGAAAAGCCATCGGTCAGAACTGCAGTGAAACAGAGGTTCTGCTTGTGGGCACAGGGGAACTGGCTGCCACGGTTCTGGGCCCGCTCGCTCAAGGATGAATGTCCTTAGATGGCCGGGCTTTGGGCTGCTGCTGCACTGCTTGCTGATTACTGATACGCTGTTTACTTCAAAGGTGAAGCTCCTCCCTGCAAGAGGATGGGGACTTTAATGGGGCAAACCTGTGGGACTAGGAACTACTCCAAATCTAACTGCATTTTTGGTTGAAGATTGCCTTCTTTGACCTTGCCCTTTTCTCAGAACACCCCACATTGCTGCACATGTATTTTTCCACAAGGGAGGAAGGGGAATGGAGAGGAGCGGCATCTGGTAGATATTACTCTCCTTGTTCAATTTCTTAGTTCTGAAAGGTGATATCCTGCTGATGAGTGCACTATTAATACTGAACAAAATATCGCGAATGTATGGATGTGTGCATAGAAATGATAGTAGTTCTGGGAAATAATGCTTAGTTCAAAGCCAAGTAAATACGTTTGATATCTCAGTTCCGTTTCAGATCGCTCAGTGGCTCTTCTCATGAAGTTCAGAGTCAGCTGCATCTCCCCTGTTGTGGCTGCTTTTGTGACTAGAATTAGTCAAGCATTAGCCACTTCACATCTCATGCTTTTAGTTTGTCTGTGCTTTTTGATTTCCTGGCAGAAAGTATTTCTAACTCGTTAGCAAATCCTTTTCCCATACTTCTTTGTTTCCATATCATTAAATTAATTTTCTTGCATCTGGTAGTGATAAGAGCAGTGAGAAGTTACACTTCCAATGCTAGCACTGACCATAATACCATGTTTGCTTAACTACTTTGCCCCTGATAGGCATCTGTGAAACGGGTGCATTCAGTTACTTCAAAACATTCTGACACTTAGCAGGTACTAGGTATATTGAGATCTTTGTGTACATGTGATGCACTTATCTGGGAGAGTATTACTGCTTTTCTATGGGAAATCCTTTTAATTAACGGGACGTACTGCAGTGTTGTTCTTTGGAAATGGAGAAGAATGGCAGCTGTGAGCTGTGTGAAGGCACGTGAAATTACTCTTAGTGGATGTGTGTTTAATTGCTGTGATCTGTATGGTATGAAAAGTAGCCTTAAATATTTCTCAGCCTGAGTTAATCTTAATACTCATACTTGTAATGCTTTATGCTTGCAGAACAATACGACGCGTTTGTGAAGTTCACGCATGATCAAATCATGCGACGATATGGAGAACAGCCTGCCAGTTGTGAGTATCTATTTCTTCCGCTTCCTGCAGCAGCATTAGGTTACTGACCTTGCAGTAGCTTAAATGGCCATTGTTTGATGCTAGGCTTCAGCTAGGCCCTGAGGTAAAAATGCTTGATGTTGACAGTATGGAGAACCAAGGTTGAAAGGAAGATGTATGATAAAATGCAGCTCTCACTTAACACACGGAGCTGTCTCCCATTACACGCTGATTTTTGAAATAACTTTGGGTATTGCCATAGCAGATTTGCATAGACCCTGCTTTTGTTAACTTCGTTATTAATTCCTCTTTTTTTTTTTCCTCTTTGCAGACGTTTCATGAATCACATTTTCTGCATATGTGGGCTGCCCTATCCACCCCGTTTTATTGTTGCAAGCTGTCCCAGTAATGACTTGCAGCAATGCCATATTTTTTCCCCCTGTGAACACAGGTTATTTCAAGCTTTTGTCAGTGGCAACCACTCTTATGCAGCAACTGGTTTTGGAGTGCTCCCTGATGTCAGTACCACCTGGATGTGGACCTTTGCTACCTGTAATAATACCAGTGGCCTCATTTGCTGTATCATTACAATTTGGCTTCTTATGTTAATAAGTTTGAAAAAGTAAAGGATTAAAGCTGATGTTCTAGAAGTTGCCCTTCACTGGTTGTGTAAATAAAAATGTAGAATGACACTTCTGACTGAAGTTAGTGTGGTTTTCATAACTGTGCACTACAACAAAGCTGTAATCACAGTTAAATTAGAATGTAATCCCAGGACAATTTTAAGCAAATAGCCCACAGTACTGCCTGTGAAATAGTGAAGGAGGGCATTTCTGTATTCCATGACTTTTTTGGGGGTTAAGAATGGGTTTATATGATTTCTCATTTTTGTAGTTTTTATTTATTCTCTCAGTCTTTAACAAATGTTTATTGCTGCAATTTTTCAGTGTATCATTGTTTTACTGCCCTTGTAGTACTGGAATTTAGTTGGAAGAATAAAACATTTACTTCTAATCTGTTTGTTTTTAATACGCAGGTGGAACTTTTGCCATATATGAATAAACTTAAATCTGAGTGTTTAAATGAAAACTTTATTCACCAGCAGCAGTGGGTGGGTCAGAATTTTTAGACAAGGAAAAAAGTGGATGCAAATGTTACATAAGTCTTCAGAGGCTGTGAAATGTGTTGGGTTGGATGCGGTCTGTAGTTACGGAGGCATGTTTGTTATACAACTGACAGTGCTGCTTTAACTGACTGCCGCTGACTCAACAGCTGTGCTCATCTTCCTTCAGTTTTGAATGACACATCAGAGGAGATGTGCTCACGAGATAGAGCGGCTGCTTGCACCACAAGCTGCAACTACCCAGGTGCTGGAAGAGCTGGAGGTGTGCAATCTCTGTGTGCTGGTCCAGGAGTTTGTTCTTAGATACGCTCAGCTGTTTCCAAACTGCTGTATCAGGGGTGGCTGCTCTTGTCTGTGCAATTCTGAGTCACTGTAAATGACTGAAATGTTGTTGCTACATGGTGATTCCAGATCTCTGTGCTATGGGTACAAGTATTGCTCATCACATTACTTGGATTATCTGTTTCTGGGACTCAGGAGCTTTTTTGAAGTAATCTCTTGGTTAAACTGTTCTCTGCATTAACTTACTGTCAGCCTCTGCTTAAGTGGAAGCCTGTATGCCTCCACTTCAAATTAATGGGGAAAAGTTGTAGTTGAAATGTAATTGCAACTTCAGCTGGTAGATCTACACAGTCATAGGGATCCAGAAAAGCTGTGTGAGTTCTGGCTCTATGAATTTTATTTCCTTTAGTAGTGACATAGGTGCAGAGCTATGCACAAAGCCGCAATATCTATTTTCTGCATGCTTTCCCAAAGCCTATTTGACTTTATCTGACCTCTAGAAAGAATATTTTCTTTTTAACTGTATTTCAGAATGGTCGAAATAAGAACTCTGTCACTTTTGGGTCTTCCATTGCTGAATGTAATAACAAAACTGTTGGGGGGCTGTCACTTCTGTTTTCTGTCTTGGGGTTCTCAGCCCCTTCCTTGCCGCTCCTCAGGTCTCCACGTGTTCACCTTGTCTAGGTGAGGAAAGCTATGGCTCCCAGATGACCAGCGCACAATTCCAGCAGCCTCATGCACCTCCTTTATCACCTGTGTTCCAAAGGTCCTTGCTCTGGCTTGATAGAAAACAGTATGTGCCTGAGAATTGGTGGTAGAATTAAAATAACAGCTGTTGTGATTGTGTCTCAGCTTATCTTAGTTATCTTAACTTTCAGGACATTAAGAGCCATTAGAAACAAGAAGTGATGTCATACTAGCACCCAGTTATTCCTGTGCTGCCCCACATTCATGCATAGTAAACAGCCTGCTGGCAGAAGAATGCCACGCGGGTGCCTGTTCATCATAGCTGCGGTATGCTTCATCTGAGCCTGTTTGGAAAATAAGGTTGCATTCTTTGAAGTCTTTTTTTCTCCTGCTGCTTGGATGGGCTCCTTTCTCTAAGCTCAGTGATTGATAGCTGATGTGATGACTGTCACACAACAGGCTTGCAATAGGTAGCATGCTCATCATTGGGAAAATGGTTGGCTGCTTTTTTACTATGGTTATGTGATGGGATCTGGTGGTGCTTAAAGGACACATCTGCTTTGGAGGCTTTTCAGAGGTGTTGTGGAGGGCTTAGAGATACATTAGAAAGGGGTAAGAGTAACTTTTTTTTTTCTTCCCTACTTGTATGTATCTGCAGTCTGAAAGCAAAGCAAATAGAAGGCTTTGCAGCGTTGAAGATCTTGGTTAACCTGTTTTTAAGATAGTGATGCTTAAAGTCTTTCCAGACAGATCCTTGTTACTGTAAAGTGAGAAAGCAGCATGCGCGTTCTGTGTGTTGATTTTTGTCTAGATAAGGAAGCACATAACCATAAAGATTCTTCAGCATTTTTCAAGGCTGAAAGGGAAGGAGATGCATGCAGTCTTGTGCTGGTGCTCGAGACCTGCTATTTGTCTTACACAGCAGGACTGTTACTGCAGTGTGGGTAGGAGCTGTGCTGTGAAGCTCACTCTGGTCATGAGCTGGTTGTTGGGAAGGATTTACCTGTGTGATTCCACAACTGGTTTGTGCTCTCATTGTGAAGCGTTGCTCATGTCTTTGCAGAGAAGTAATTCTCAGATGAAAAATGTGAGGATGAACATCTGGCTTTGGCAGTGGTTTGTTCTGCCTTAGTGTTGCAATAGGATCTTTCACTGTTTACCTTCTCAAGTTTCTTGTGTTGGAAATCAGCAAAGAGGTTAGCATGGAACAGCAAAAACCTTCAAATGTTACAGCAGAGAAAAAAAGTAAATTCTTCCAACAGTGAATGTTCAGGGTTGAGGTTTCTACAGTATTGCTGAAAGCTCTGGGCATTGAATACAGTACGTGTCAGGTAAGGTAAGCAAGGATGAGTTCTGAGTATTCACAAGAAACAGTAGTAAAAATGTTGAGAGAAGAAAAATGCATTCTACATGGGCACATCATGTACTGTTAAAGATTGCTTCCCTTTATTACTAAATATTTGAGCTCTTTAGGTCTGAAAGTGAGCTGTTGGGGCCCAGTCTTGGGTTTGGCTACATAAGGTGGCAGGTTGCAGGCAGTGTGAGGTGCGCTTGGCTGCACGTCCTGCTGAGCAGTCAGATGTTGGGCTGTTCTGCTGCTCACTTCCAGTGTTCAAGTGTACTTGCAAGATAAATAGGTCAGGTTGAGAACACAAAATGCTTACACAGCATTCCACAACTACTGAAATTTCCTTTCTACGTGGAAATCTCACTAGTACAAAGGCCACAGAGCATGGCTGGTGCCCCCAGCTTGGGCTCTGAGTTGATTTGGCGGGAGAGAGCGAGGGAATTTCAATTGCTCCATGAGATCCTAGAAATTCTTGCTTTGAGTTTTTGTTGAGGTGTTTCCTACATTGCAGGATTAGGATTATAAAGGCTGATGACTCCTGCTCAGCCATTTAATTTTTCTTGACACCATTCAGAACATATGTACAGCAGGAAGCATTACTTGTGTCTCTGCAGTTAGAAAAACTCAAAAATATGTGGCTCTTGTTCTTTCTCAGGATACTTTAACATAAACTATTTCCCAGGAGCGGATAGAAGTTAAGTTCTAGGTTTTTGTGACAGGACTTACCTAAATAGAGTAGATCAGTTGATACCTGAACAGTGCCATGTGCCCCAGGTACAGGGCATGCCTGTGGGCACCCTCCCCAGTGGGCCTCTGTATAGTGCTCATCCACTCTTGCACAGCTGTATTTTACTCATGTGATTCAAACTTCAGAGCTCTGTGCTATTGTTCCCAATTGCTGTGAGAATGAAGAAGGCTGAAGTACAGTGCAGCCAAAGGGGAAGCATCAGGATTCCAGTGACAGCTGAATGTCAGCACCCAGTGCAGCACTTACATACCTCCAGCCAAAGGAAAGCAGAGGCACTCAGCTGAGAGTCTGGAAGGTGTTCTTTGGTGAAATAGTCTTTTGCAATAAGCTGAGTAATTACCATTCAGCTTAGCACAGTCTAAATTTTTCTAACAATGCAGCCCTTTGCTAGGTGATAAAGGCTGAGCTGAAGGCTCCTCTCATACAGCTGAACTCCTGCAGCCTGGGGACCAGTTTATCATGCATAGCAGACATTCACCCTGCATTCACCCTGTTCTGAAGGAAAAAGCAGCTTTTTCCTTGTTCAATTGGAAGAGTTTTTCCATGATTGGAAAATGGGACAATGACATCAACATGAACACATTTGCTGCCCAAATTTGAGTGAGTAGAGTTAAAGCTTGACATGTAAGATGTGCAGCATAGCTGGTGCATGGCAAAGAAAAAAGGGGTCACTTGGGCAGTGCCAGGGCTCCTGCTCAGATGACACAAATTCCCGACAGCAAATCAGCTAGTGCTGGTCAGCTTGCTTTTCTTTGCAGAGAACAAACACCTGTATTCTCATAATTCCATCCCTTCCTCTTCTTCCTGATCAAGTTCTTCAAGGTGCTATGATGACTTCTGGGTTGAAGGACACAGAGCAGCTGCTGAGGGTGGGAGCTTGGTGTCTTTTTTTTTAATGTACTGAGTTTAAATGTATAGTTCAGGGATCTGGAATGCATTTTATAATGATGATTCAATTACTATCAGATCATGAGCAAGTTAATGCTGCTGCTTCATCACTGCTGCAGCTGACACATCCACTGTTCTCATTTTGGCTTGGTAGCCTGAATTATATCAGTATAGCATTAACTATCATACATCAAAGATGATTAAAAGGAGTGCAACGCTGCAGTACTTGGATCATGAGCAGTACATTACAGTATGGAGGCAGCAGTTTAAAAACAAAATGGTTACTGAAGTTCCTCCGAGCACTCAGAACACAACTCAGCATTCAGTCATCCCCAACATTGACTCAATTACACAAAGACTGGTTTAGTGGGAGCACAGCCATTGCACCAGGTTACAAAGAACAGCTTTATTAAGGTTGTGGTGGCACATTAACAGCCTCCCCAGGTCAGCCGTGCCACGTGATCAGTTTTCTGCTTGCTGGGCTTTATGAAGCCCAGGAGTTCCAGTTCAGAAACAGCTCGAATAAAACGAGCGCTGGACATGTCTGTAAAGGAAGCTCTTCTTATGGCAGTAATTGACAGAGAAACCATTATGTTACAGAGAGAAAGACTTCTAAGTGACAGTATGCATGTATGACACAAAACATTGTATTGGACGCTAAAAGTGTTGGAAATGAGGACAGAGCACTGCCAGCCTATAGAAGCACAAATATTCAACCAGTATTTCTTCTTGCCACCTGAATACAATGTGATAACAAAGGAAGAGTTCCTTTTCACGCTGCTAAGAAAAGCATAAAACCTACAAAGATATTAATTCTCTCAGAAGAATGTCCCTTGACAAGAAAAGGGGAAGATAAGTAATTATAGATTTTTTTTTGGTGGTTTCATAAAAGAGAATCAGCTTTTCTTTACTCGCTATTCCTTATATCCTCACTGCATCATTCCTGACACAGCTATATGACTGTGAGATAAACAGAACTTAGTTTTGTGTGAACTACCTGAAGGAAGGACAGGTGTAGCATTACAGCATATGTATGTTCTCCCTGTAGTTAGATCTCCTCTTATACAACTGTTCATCCCTGTGGCAGCACTACTTGCAACCAGCAGTTTTGGTTCTAATGCTCATTCTTCAGATATTCTGCAGTCTTTGCTTCAGAATCAGGACTAAGTGAGAAACAGAATGAACGTTTCACATGAACTAAAATTCCCAGCTTTGAGGTACAGAGTTTCTGCAGAGATAATACTGTGTAAGCATTTCCTTTGCTACTGCTTCCATTTTCCTCATAACAACCTGCCATCTCTTCACCTCCCCTCCAGGGCATCTTCTCCTCAGTAATGCTCTCTCCCCGCACATGCAGATGTACCAACTCTCAGATGATTTAACTCTATTAGAGTAGCTTCATCTTGTAAGGTCTGTTGCTTCCCTTTCAGATCCAAAATGCTCCATCGGTCAAAAGCTGCTCTTACCTCACAGCCTCCAGCCCAGGTACCTCAGGTGATCCATTTCTGTGACATTTTCATTACATTAAGACTGCCTAAATTAGTTGTCTTGTTTTTTTCCTGCAGCTGCATTTCAAAAATCTTACACTAATCCTGTAAGCGGTTGAAAGCCAAATTTGAGACAGAAATGAGAAAGGATACTGTATAACATCATCCACCTGGTCTGAGGAAGCTACATCTGCAGTCGGTCCCTCAGCTGCCGTCACCACAGTGGAGAAAGCCTAGAAAGGGAAAAGCAGCACAGAGCTAACCAACAGCTCATCAACAGATAGAGCTTCATTTAAAAGAATGAGCTTTGAGCTAAGCACTGGTCACTTGGGAGGAATGAGATCTTGGAATAGTAGCTCCATAAGAATGTCATCTTTACAGCAATCCAAACAGCAAGTGAGGTTACATGTTACCATCACAGAAATACAGAAGGAAAGAATGTCACCCCATGAACTCACATGCTTATATTTTAAATTCTAGTTCCTGTCCTGTTCTGAGTAAAAAAAAAAATACAGAAAACAAGACAGTTTAAACAATCTGGAAAGATTAACTTGGCTGTAGAGAGATCTATAAAAGTCAGTGACACGAGGAGGCTTGATAGGGAGCTGATGTCTGCATCCTCTTCAAATACCCAAACAAGGCAGCAGCAAATGAAGCAAGCACATTCAGAACATGGAAAAGGAATGGTGTGGGCCTGTGGGCTGCAGGTGCCCACAAGATATGGTTGCTAAAAACGCATGGAAACCAGTTGGACTTCCAGAATACAGAGAAACACTGGAAATAAGGTTGTAAGGGAGTAATAGAGAATATATAATTTATGCACATTCTCTTTTTATATTTTCCAGTTTGGGTATGAAACAGGGTTTCGAGCTTGAAGCTTTGGTCTTCCCTCGCATAAGCATTCTGCCCCCAGAGCACACACTTCAATGGCAGCACTTGCTCATTTCCATGAAAATATCCCAAAATACTTCAAGAGGGGAAAAGGTAGCTTTGTGAATTATAACATCTCATCTGCACCAAACATAAAAGAAAGCAGAAGAATTTCCTCACAGAGTAATAATGCTGGAAATGAAAGATTCACAGTAGGCAGAGGACCTGCCCATAGCAGAGGGGCTGAAACTAGGTGATCTTTATGGTCCTTTTCAAGCCAGGCCATTCTATGATTCTATGAAAACTCTCCAGGCCAGTGACCTGGAGACTGTGCGTTCTTGCACAGGGGAAAACTGAGGCATTCAGTGAGCTCAGCTGTCAAACGAGGCATTAAACAAGAGCAGATGAGCAGCAGAAAGGTAAATCAGCAGAATACTGCAAGCAGGCACAGGCACAGTTTGCACTGTTACATACCTCTAACCAATCCACAAGGTTAATCAATCTGCCACACTCCAAATGAAGCTTGTAGGCAATGCATATGTCAGGGGCTTTGTTAGAAATGCTTCCTCCATCACTTTTCAGTGCTTCACTCTGATGAAAACCAAAGACAGTGATTTTGGTCAGTCTTTAATCTTCAACAATCTCTAGTGCTAACTACAACATTATTTCAGGAAACGCACATGGTGGGTATTTTAACCAAATGTTTGCTGCTTATGTGTTCAGTGAGAAGTTGATGGTGGAAAGAAGAAAAAACAGGAAAAAAAGAAACATTAAAACAAGCCCCCTCCCCCCGAGCTACTCCTTCATTCTCTGTTTGAACGCTTATCTGATCTGGCTTTTCTTATTTTTCTTCCTAGTTCTGTTCATGTATCCCAGAGACATGGCCTGCTCTATGGATTCAGGGAGAGAAACGTGTCACTTTTTAGCTCAGACTTTTACCATGTAGTAATTAAAAAGGTGTCACATCTCCCCCCATGCCCACTCCAGAAAGAAAAGAGAAAGTCATAACACAGATCACACAGACTAAAAAGCAAAATTGCTTTCCTCATCTCAGAGCTTTATCTTTGAAATGTCACAGTCATTTCTCTCTGGCTTTAAACTCAAGACCTATAAAAGCAGAAGTTTGATGTCTCACAAACTGTTCTGTATGTCGGGAAATCCAGGTCATCAGCACTGAACCATTTATAAGTAAAAGAGCCACTTGAGCTAGAAGAAAAAGTCTGTGCATGGCTGCAGGATATTTCATCTCAGTTGGTAATTTTTGTTCAATTTTTAGTTTCACATACAGTAAGAAGCCAACTCCCTTAATAAAACAATTACTGATTATTCCTTTCCCAGAAATTTTTTGTTAAAATGCTTTTATACACTAATAAAACATGGCAGCAAATATGCCAGAGTTGGGAAGTCCGTACAGCCCTAGCAAGGATCCCGTCATAAATCAAAGCTTTTCAAGATAGGAAAGGCAGCTGGGCAAAAACCACAGCTTTGCTCAAGAATCTCCAGTTTACATTTTACACATCAGAGTTCTGCAATTTTTGAGACTCAGATTGCGTATGGATTCCAATTTTTCTGAGGCATTTCACAATGATCAGAATATCTAACAATTTCCCAGTTTATTTTGTTTTATTTTACAGAGAACACAAAAGCTGCTGACGTTAGCTAAGATGGCATCCAAATAAATCCAACGCTGCAGCTAAAACCTCAAAATGCGACGGTACAGTGCAGTTCAGAAGTATGCTGCTCTAGTTCCCAACACTGCTGTGTTACCAACTGGCACAGCAAAGCTCCACTTCGAGGCGACCTGAAGGCTCAGCAGTGCCCAGAGGGGCAGCTCTGCACCTCCTTTCCCCTCCGCTACCTCTCCCAACTCTGCCTTCCCACCACTCACCCCTTGTGCTGACTCTGGCACTGCTGGACACTTTGCATTCATTTTCTAATCTTGCACAAATGCCCGCTGTTAGGGCTTTTGTTTTGTTTTCAATACCAGCTTGATAGCTGGTAAAAACCCTAAGTGGCTTAGCAAAGCACCCAGCAAGCATTACAGCAAATCTGTGGGGAAGAAAGACCCTGAGGTGTCCCTGCAGGGCACCACCAGAACAACAAGCAGGAAGCTGCTCAAAGAGGAGCAGTCAGCTGTGAACCCTGCTATGGAGCTCAGAGGTGCTGCTTCAGAAAGTGAAGACCATCAGATGGGAACAACCCAGCTCACTCTTGGGGTTTTCTCATGTTGTTCTGGGGGACCCCGCCCCAGAACATCCAGACAGAACATCCTCACCTTTGCTCTGGATACAGCATTGTCACATTTCATAAAGTGCAAATGCTTGTATTCCCTTTTCCTGTACAAGTGTTTAATTGCAACTCAAGGATTTCTGTTTTAAGTAGGGCTTCTTCCTTGAGATCAAGGTGAAAAATTGTCCTTTTCGCACCAGGTCAAGAACAAAACTTCCAAGATCATCTAAACACTAGAATTATCCAAAAATGACATTTTCTTGACCTGATACAATTCTAAGCAGTGAGCTGCTGATACTCCAAGTTACAACTTGCTGGATTTTCAAGGGATCAATGAAAACAGAATGACACTTGATTTTGTGCGTGCTTCTTCTCAGAATAAATCTGACCTCTGGTTCACATTTAGCGAAATAAATCACTGGACTGGACTCCTGTAAGAAATGCATCACATCGTTAATCATTTGCTGGTACTCCAGTGAAGCAGATCCTTTTCTGTCCTGGCCTTCTGGTAGGAACAGCTCTAAAGAACTTCGCTGTGGTCACATCCCAGGAAAGAACAAGCCATGTGGAAGTTGTGAATACAATTCAGAAAAATAGTTCCCGTGACTCACACGGATTAAAATGCTAAGCAAGGCACTTGGTGAATAGTGCTGCTACTAGAAACTATACCAAAACTTTCACAATTTCCTCAAACTCAAAAACATGTTAAAGTACATCAAAGAATGAAGTGCAGGACAATAGAGAACTTTACGTCTTGTCAATTCATCAAAGAGAGTACTTATTAAACACATTAGTAGCCAGATTTTGCTAGCTCTCCTAATCATTACATGTTTTAGAGAACCATTACTGACGTTTATATTCAAGGTCTCTTTTATGGTAAGCCCACTCACTACCAGCTTCACCAAAAAGGTCTTCAAGGTGATTTTAGTAAGACTCTGCACACAGCAAAACTGACAACTCTTTTTCAGAAAGAAGCGCAGTGCCAACAAACCCAAAGCAAACTGTGCTGTAGATTTAAAAGATTGATCTTTTTCTTTTTGGTTTCTGATAATTAAGTGTTGACTTCAACTTAAGAAACAAATAAGCACCTGGATACAGATAAAACAGTGTCGTCTTTAACTTTTTAAGAGGAACGTCAGGACATGAGGATAACTCTGTGTATCATCTCCAATCAAGGATAAAACAGATAAATAAACATTTACTCCTTCTCCAAATCCTGTGCTATTCCTTCCATCGTGTGAATTTGATGTAAGAAAGAAGAGGGAAAAGGGCTTTTTTTCTCCTCTAGATAAAGGTCAGCTTAACTAACAGAATCCATAACAATCCTTTTCTTGGGCTCAGAGTAGACAGGATATCAATTTACAGCAAATATTAAAGTAAACGTAAAACAAAACAAACTCAATTAAATCCACTTTGTAATTTTCATCACATCTATTGTAAATTTCCTCAGTACACTGAGCAGAGCCTGTGCCTTACAGCACATCTGCAAGTCTATGCAGTGAGGACTATGACCAACCCTGCAAAGGACTCCCTCTGGAAAAAGCCATAGACACTATTTTTCCCCCCATGGATGCAGTCCTCCTATTCAGAACAACTATAAAAGAGAAGATGATAACTAGAACAGGCTTTGGAAAACAGCTTTCCCATATAAAACTCTTTCCATAATCTGCTTCTTTATTTCAGCCAGACAGATTCCCCAGCTCGTAGCGAAGCTCCCAGTTGCTTATCATTGCTGACGCGTTGGCCCTCTACAAAACAGCTGGCCGTGTGCCAAACTACATGAAACAGCAAAACTAAGTCTTTAACATCATCCTCGTGTACAGTCTTGAGAAAGTATTCCAGTACTGCAAACAACCCCCTTGTTTCTTACCTTCAGGTAAGAGTACGGGTTATTCAAAGCTGTGTGCAGTGCAATCCTTGGGGCAGCATTCAAGTGCTCACGGAGAACACTGGCTGTGTTGAAATACACAATCTCATGCAGAGTCTTGTGGTCTGCTGGAACAAGGTAACGTCTGAAAAAACAACATGAGGTATGGGGCGAGGAGGTGAGAAATGAGCTTTACCTTAAGGGAAAACAGAACTCTACTGCAGTCGGAGACTACAATAATGTATTATGACCAATACTGACAGATCTCAAAAAACAAGATGAATGGAGACAAAATGAATTTCAAAGCAAAGAATGATTATCAACTCTACATCATATAATCAAAGAATCACCAAGGATGGAAAAGACCTCTAAGATCCTCCAGTGCAACCATCCCCCTACCACCAATACTTCCCACTACACCATGTCCCTCAGTACAACATCTAAAGGTTTCTTGATCTAATGAATTTAGTCTAATGGTTTTAATTTAGAATTCTAGCTGGGCCAGAGATAAATTCAAAAACAAGGGCATAAATGCTACCACCAGTCATGTAACTCTACTCCACAGATCTTACTTATCCATCCTGATGAGTCTTTGCCCAACTCTACCTTCAAATATGAAGTTCTTTTTCTTTTTTCTTGGCTCATTCATACTTCTATTAGCTTCTCTATTCCCACCCATGCCACCACACACTTTCAGCCCACAACTTCCCTTTACTAAAGCTATACAGTAATAAGTGCCTTCATCTCTTAGCCCAGGTCTTTCAAATTTTCTGATACCTTACTGCCTCCAAGATTCTATTTGCTATGCCTTCCTTGCTAAACAGTTCCCAAAATGGCATCTATGGAGTTTCATGAACAGATCAGCAAAAATTAGAATGAAAACTCCTGGCTTAATTTTCATCATGTACACCCAGTCCTCCCCTCAACTTTATTCTCCAAAATAAGTTTCTCAGTTCATGTGCCAATTACTTTTACTAATCTACTGAAAATAAATGGTTGGAAGAGTGCTCATGAAAGAAAGTTGGGGGGGGGAAAGCTTCATACCACAGGGACCAAGAGACAATTTTGACAAGACTTATTCCCATGCTAACTTGTTAGCAAAATTTCTCTTTTAGCATATAGTGCAAACCAATGCAGAAATATCAAACAGGAAAGCTCACCTTACAAGACTGTCTATATAGTCAACAACTTCAAAACGAAGCATTTCAAACTTGGTCAGTTTCTTAGACCGCCTTGATTCCTTCAACTCCAACAAAGTCTTTAAAAAAAAGCAGAGCATAAAACTACATGGGAGGTAGTTACTCTCTGGAGAACACAATCCATGTGTTGAACGTGTATAATTAATTTTTGCTGGCATGTCTTCATCGATGATGTTAAGAAATGTGATCGTACAGTTATGTTTATTTAGGCCAGTGTATCCAGTTCTCAAACTGGTAGGAGTTACGAAAATTCTTCAAGGCCTGAAGCTTGAAGAAATGTGGGTTAGGCAGAAGCATAATTTACAAGTCAAATACAAAGGTATCTCCTAATTTGCATATTAAGACAGATATTTTCTATCATTTTCTACACATCAGGTAGTCCTGACACACACAGTTGGTATTATTACTTCATTTTTCAGAAGAATTACTTATACACAACCTTTCCTCAGAGCTCCAGCAAGCAGGAAAGACATAACCATGGACAAATACATCTAAATAAACATTCAGTTAAAGAACTAGTGAGTAAAGTCAATGCAGGCCTAACCTTCTGAAGATTATAAAGATTTGTCTTCTTCTGGAGCTCTTTTTGTGGCGATACAGACTCATCTCGTTCTTGGTAAGTTTCTGCTACGGGAATAAAACTCATGTTTATTATGTGGAGGTAAACTCTTCCTCCATACCTATATTAACCTCCTAACCCAAGCAATTTGAGAAGCGTTCAGAATTACCTGTTCACAGACCTAACACAGGCAGCTTTTGAGTCTTGCCCTTGTAAGAAATTGTTAAAAAGCAGGCAGCAGTGCAGCTTGCCCAAGAGTTATGAAGTGAAGCAATGCGTTCCTGAGAAAAGATCCAGCACAAGCCTTGCACATCACTTGAAATCCACTTAGGTCATTCTAGGTCATAATCTCAGCATTTGTAAACTGGATAGATTAGTGCAATATAGTATCGATGCTTAATGAACATTCAAGAAGTTATACACTGCATTTCTTTTCCTTTACATTTACAACAAATACCAAATAGGAAATAAGACCACCCACTAAATGTAAAAACAGCAACCAGAGTAGCAAACTGAAAGCCTGCTTATGTATTTCACTGTCCAGATCTACTTTCATCTTAATTTATAAGCAAATTTTATTTTCATAGTCATATAGTTAATTGATCAATTCCATCATTAATTAGGGTGGGTTTTTTTTAGGTTGAAAGCAAACAAGCAAAACCTCTGACAGAACAATCAAGGCCACACTGAACAATAAAGGTTACATCCTAATCATAATGTAACTAGCCTTCTTGCCTTACTCATGGACAAAGATGTTACCAAGACAGAGATTTCCACCTACCAATCACAGGTAAAGCTCCCATCAGCAATAACAATCATTGTATAAAAAGCTTGTTGATGACCTACATAGAATGAATTGGTATTTTCTAGTGCCCTGCAGAAAGGTGTCAACAAAATCATTACTGCAGTTTCCCTCAGAAAAGGTCTAATAGAAAACAAAAAAATTATCTTCTACAGTTGGCGCTTCAAAACACACCAGTAAAGAGAGCAGGATTGCAGACTGCTGTCTAGTTTCAATGTTACAGAATCCAATCCAATAAATATCTTGCAGTGCTGATTATAGCAATTCTTAGTTCTTGAGAAAAAAAAAAGCTGGCTAGCTGTCTAAAACTAACTAATGACTTCAATTTTTATTGAAAGCTATTAAAATGTTCTGGTCCGCAATATCAAATAACTGTACTCTAAAGAATTGATCATTAAAATGCATATTTAAAAGAAACATCATCTTTTCTTCCTCCAGTTCAATGTTAACAGCACGTGTATGCATATCCATGCATTTCTCAGTACATTCTTTCTTGTGAAAAAGTTAAAAAAGAAAAAAAGAAGTGATGTTATCAGCCCCATTAGAAAATTGCTATCAGAGCAATTCCAAAGCCGAAAGGCTTTTAAAAGACCCCCTTATCAATGAATGGCAAAAAATGTATTATTTTGGAATTTTGGGATAAATAAAATTTTATCTGATGTTTGTATTTTTAATTAATCCTTCTGTCAAAATAGACCCAACATAAAGGTATTTTCTTTCCTCAAGATTCAAGTTTTGATTTCTTCCAATTCATTAGGCAGTCTTGGAAAGAACGAGAAAGAACAAGAAAACCATTCGGAATCATTTGGAACCATGCTTTCACTGGGGCTTTGAGGGAGATCCAGGTACATAACATTTTTTGAAAGATCAGCTAAAGATCAGCATGACCACAGAAACTTACAGGAAGTCACCTAACTCAGCAACCTACTACTCATTTAAGGCTTATTTTAATTTCCCCCTCTCACTTCATAGCTTAAATCCTCTTTGAAAGCAAACTAAGATAATTCATGGACTCGTTAGATCTTTCTTGTTTTAAAAACTTCTTCAAATCATCATCTAAAATAAATACTGACTTTTCATCTCACAGTTCCATGTGTTGCTGTATTCTCATTTGTTTCATCTTGTTTTTCTGTATCCCCCCCAAGGTAAAAATCCAACTATTTGACTGAATATTTCTGGAAATTTTACATTTTAAAGTGCTTTAATTTTAATTTTCCAAACTAGATCAACCATTAGGATTTCCAGTGTAGTTCAGGATCTTCAGTGCCAGCATCTTCAGTGAAACACACATTTATTTTTAAAGCAATCACCTTGTTCCTGTACCACAGCCCTGACATTGCTGCATCTTTCCACAATTACAAGGTACAGAAAAAGAAAAAAAAAAACCACAATTTTTCTTCTAACCAAGCCAAGCTTAGCCTACTTGTCCAAACAGAGTGTTGCAGCTCCTACTGACAATGACCTCCATTTAAGACACATAGAAGAGGTAAGATGGTAGCCACTTTATATTCAAAAGAGAAACAGGAGCGAGCACTTCTTTACAGTTCAAAGAAAAGAACCAAATTCCAATTCCAGACAAATGCTGGAATACATCAGTTCCTGTTTCTGATGGAATATGGCACTTTTTGTTAACTTGTCTCTGAAAGATGGAAAACTGCTGTTCATTTGCATTCCTAGTTTCCATAATGTCCCCCTACCAGGAGTAACCAGCTAGAGGGGGCAAGATAAGTTACAGTATGTCAACACTGGTCTAGTTTTCATGTGAATCCAACCAAAGGTTAGTGCAATAACTTTATATACATTTGGACTGAATACCACGTCAGAAGGAAATCTGCTTCTGTTTATCTTTCAAAAACTGTTTTGTTAAATATTTTTAGTAATTGCAACATCTGGTAAAATGTTCAGAATACACATGACAGATTTAGTGAGTAATGTTTGCTGATCTGTCCAATTTCTTATCTTACATCACTCTTCTGCCTTAGAAAAGCATGAACCGCAAACCAATAAAGCATATAAACATGTCCTAATTGTGTCTTGTATTTAAAAACAATCTTGAAATATCTGACAACTTGATGCAATGAGAGAATATGACCAGGAAAAATACCATTTGTCCAATTATAGAACAGTTTCAGTTTAATCTGCAAGGGAACGTATGACGATGCACACCCACCTTCTAGTTTCTGAAACTGGGTCAAGAACTCCTTCAGCCTCTCTACTATCTCATCAAACTCCCTTCCAGGAGATGACACAAGAATTTCCACACACTTTTGAAGCATGGTTACCAAATCAGACTTATTCAACATCCTAAAAGACACAATTAAGGAGACAGAATGATGAAACATCTTTCAATGTTCTTAACTGGAAAAAAAAAAAAAAAAAAAAAAGTTAAAAATAAGTAGAAAAAAAATCCTTTTAAAAGAGAAAACCTCCATAAAGACAAATTCTTTCCTTTTTTGACATTAAGAGAGATCAAACAAATGCAAAGAAACAAACAAAATTGCTTTGGACAGATGTACTTACCATTTTTCTACAGGACTGATGAGGAAACTTCTTTCTAATACTCTACACAAAAAAACCTCAGTGGATATATAGTTATAAGTTTTGAGAATCTGTAATTTTTGAAACTATGAACCCCATTACAAAAATATAGTAGGGTTTAAAACTGATTCCAAAGAAGATGGTATATTATGAAATCAGAATGCCTTAGTTTTAGCTGGGACAGGGCAATATACATTCATCCATGCAAGGAGTAGATTACTCTCTGTGATTCAAAATGAGAACTAAACTGGAATTACTGCTTTCTGTATTTAATTGGTACCACCCAACCACTCCTAGAATCACAGAATCATTTAGGTTGAAAGGGACCTCTTGAAGTCATCTAGTCCAAGTTTCAGCCTAGTATTTACTTAGCTTTATTTATATATTAGGGCATTTTATAAACGTCACCAAGCACTTCTCAGTTTCACAATCTTCATTCAAAAGATAAAAAAGCAAGTCCTTGCAAATATCCATAAATGAGCTCCAGAATTAAGTCACCGCATCCAACCAGTACCTTTACACGTGCATGGCTCTTTTTTCATGTGGTGCAAGAGATTCCAATTGCCAAACACCACAGTTCTGAATAATCACACATTTGTAATAGCTATTTTTTCTGAGAGCTCTACTCAGCCTATTCGTATGGTTTTGCTTCCTCTTTATGAAGTACAAAACAAAGATGTTAACAGTTAAAGGACTCCAGAAGACAGAAAAGACATGGATACATGAAAAAAGGATGACAACAAGTCCATGAAATGGTGGCCATCAGTGTGTCAGGTAGTGAGTCTCCATGTGAGTTAGCTAAACATTGTCTAACAGGGATTTAAGGAGGCGTTCAGATGAGGCTGAAGTAGCTTTGTCAATGTCTGAAAGGGAAAATGGAATTCAAGCTCAAGTTTCTGATTAGCACTTGTTGTTTATCTGATTTATGGTTATGGATTTTTGCGAGGCAACAGCTGCTTTTACATACATTCATTCTGTACAGAAAAACAGCAGGAACTAACAAAAGGAAGGCGACCTTGACCACACAAAGGGTACACAAAACATCTACTGTTTTTCAGAGAATAATGGATGAACAAGGTGGCCTTGTTCCAGGCATGAGAAAACATTGCAAAAGTTAAAGAAGTAAAATGACGAGAGGATGACAAGATGTATAAATATGCAAATGGAAAATATGTTCTTTTCCATTCATTTATATTAGTATTTTTTTTCCAAGTTCTAGAAGTATCCCAGACATGAGAACCTAGAGAAGAACTTGTTTACAAAGCTAATAAGGCTAGGAGGCCCAAACAACAAGCAAAAGTATTGTTACTGCACACTGGGAAACAGTAAAGGATCTTTTCCAGCCTTTTGGACCTGAGACTTCTGCAAGGTATTCCAGGGATCAGAAAATCTCACATCATCCAGATACATCCAATAAATAGCTCTTATTACTCAGACATGTATATGTCACATGTCATATGAAAGAAAAGAAAGGAAGCCAGGATGAAACCCAGAGAAACTCTTTCAGAATGCTGAAGGGAGGATTGCCTGAAGAACTGATAAGACAGGTGAACAACACAGTGATGTAAAATGGCCGGACTGTGATAAGCAGCATGTGACCAATGACATCAGCGATCAGCAGCCAAAAACACAGTACAGTATCCAGACAGATGGAAGACTGTCCTTAAAATGTTTTGCCACCTAAATTTTGACCAGAAGCCCAAGCCAGTTAGCTCTCCATAATCAGTGAAGAGAGACATGCTCCTTCATCTCTCGATTCTCTCTCTTCTTACTGGACTGATTAGCTGTTAAACCTCACATTCTCTCCCTCTCTTCTCTAATTTTAACTTCTTTAACACGAGGTAAAAAAAAAAAAAAAAAAGATGACTCCAGAAAATGTTGAAAAAGAAGAATGGAAGGGTGAGCGCAAGGAATATCAATGTGATACAGCCCCTAGGAAAGCAGAGAGATTAAAGAACAGTCAATACATTCCACAGTGAAGCAAAGGGGGAAAAGAAAAGAAAACTCAGTGGAAGGGCAAAGATCACATTTTGCCACTTCCTTCTGAAACACTGCAGCAAGATCCCATGCAGAAATATCAGAGACAGTAAATATTTGTTAAAAGGGACAAGGGAGATAAAGAAAAAGCTGAAAAATATAATATAATCCCAGTCAGACTTTCAAATGTTAAAAGAAACTCACATTGAAGAAGTTAGAAAAAATGATGGAATTTCTGGATTTAAAACAATAAACAAAAAAATCAAGCAAAAAAAAAACAAAAAAAAACCAACAACAAAAAACATCCATCATCTATGAAAGCAATAACCCTGATTACTGATATTTCTATTCTACTCTGATCAGTGTTATTTCTAACAGAAATTCCATGTAGTGGTTGCCAGGTTTAGAGAAAAAAAACAAGAGAGAAATGAACAAAAAAAGAATAAAGAGGGAATAAGCCAGAATCTGATGGCAGCATCAACCAGAAAGCAAATGAATTCAGAGTGGAGGTAAGCAAATTAAACATAGGAGGAAAAAAAAGGAGAGGTAAAAATGGCCAAGAGTCACTGGATATTACAGAACAGACAGAACTGAAAAGCGCAGTGACACATTTGTGACAAAGGGCAGATAAGCGATTAAACACCATCAAGAGAGTCAGAAAAGAATTGACTGCAGACATGACAACTCAAGCAAGCAATCCTTCCAATGGGATGAGGGTAAAAATACAGCAAAGTGGTGCTGTGGGAAAATGCAGTGTGGTAAGGGGACAGTATGGAGAGAATGTTTCTTAGGTACATGAGCCCAGTGATCCTCTACACACCACAGACCTGGCTTTTCTATTCAACTTCCTTGTTAAGACATTAAACCTCACAATGGCAGAGACTCTCAACATGGAAGTTACGGTAACAGTGTTGTATCAGCTCCTTGAGCAACATAAATAATGTATTGTTTGAATGAATGCACTTATCAGGAAACAGGTACTCGACAGAAGAAAGTTTAAAAGTCTGTGTTGCAGCATAGCAATTTAAAGGTTTTCCATTATGGAAATTGTCTTAGATGACTTTTCAATTTTAAACACTGATAGACAATACAAACACAGCTCTCCTGAAGTTCAGTAACAATTAGCACAATCCCTGTACAAACTCAAAGAGAAGTTTATGGGAAAAAAAAAAAAGAAAAAAAAAAGGGCAGCAAAATAAGAAATAAAGGCCACAGCTGCCATTTGGAACAGATTCTGATTTTTCAGATTTTTCAGAATGGATCACAGTTTAGGCCAACTGAAACTAATAACTTGGTTGATCCACAGTTAATAAAAAAGTTTTCAAAAATATAGCATAACAACACGTTCACTGAAGGAATACTGAAAGAGTATCTAACAATTATACAGCTGATGATCTCATTTACATAAATACTTCTCAATGTCTTCAGCATATTTACACTGGGCATAAGAAATATTAGATTCTGGCTGAGTTTCATAGGAAACAGTAGGAATACAAAATGAAGAAAGCAGTCAATTGTACTTGCAGACAATCCTACCATCTGCAGATCTTCAACACAGGTAGCAGCTTTAAGTTCCAAAATAACAGACAACTGATATTCTACATGTGTACAGTGGTATTAAACAGAATAAAAAAGGGATAAAAAGAAGGATTAAAAAGTCACCTTGCTAACTGAAGTGATGACTCATACTCCTCTGTCTCCCACACTCGGTTTTCCAAACATGCACAGTGCAGTTCCCTGATCTGTTATGCAGAAAGTGAGGAAAGAATAAAACGCTTTTACAAGCAAAGCACTGAAGAACTCTTACAACAAGCTTTTTAAAGAAATATGTAATTCCTTTAGAGCTCCTTTCTCAAATACACAGAATGACTGCGGCATAAATCGAGAGCTTTCAGTATCTTATACAACTAATTTCCCTGCATTGCTGGAGTCTGTGTGCTGCTCTGTACCAGGTTTAAAACAACCAGCTGAAGGTAACTGCACAGATCAGTGCAGAGGGACTAACTAAACAACTCTTAAATCTCAAATACTGAGATTCCTCAATTTTGTAGTTAGGGATGGACTCTAAAAACAGCAGATTGAGAACAGATAAACACACATGCACAGAATATGTTGTTCTTTTAGTGGAAGAAGGAGTTGCTTACTGTGAGAATCACTGACATTAGAGCAATATGGCTATTAGGAGCAATTATCATTGTTCCCTTACTATCATTTTATTTTACACAGAAAATTGCTAAAACTCAGCTACTCAGATTCCCAAAATGAGACTATTTGACTCTTCTAGGTGGTAGAAGAGTATACACTGTTTGCACTTCATACAGAGAATTTGAGGTGTGGGAAAAATCAACTTGCCAATTCATTTGCTGATCTGTACATTTGCCTCCTTCTACAAACACATTCCTGCTGACTGACGAGCTATCATCCCTGCCAGCAGAGAAACCACATGCTGTTCCTCTCTTCCCATGGCAAGAAAGCATCTGTCTCCGTTAGAGAAGTAGGGGGCAAAACAGCAGAACAGTAAATAAAATGAATAAATACTAATTCAGATGTCCTACTGGGAAATCAATCAAATGTTTGATTGAAACAGAGTAAGAGTACTTCACCTGCTTGCCCAAAGGATACTTTGGAAGAGAAGACGTGAAAACATGAAGACATCTCAGAATGGGAAAATAATTTTCATGGTAAACATTCAAGTCCTCTAGCAGCTTCCGCACTGCTTCCTACAGTGACAGAATAATGAAACAATTAGGAGTCATTCTGACATTAGTTTGTTTAAAACCTTCACAAAGTTCTTAAAATGACTCTGAGGTTTTGATGCTCTGGTGTTCTGTGACTTAAATCCTCAATTTTCACTTAAGATTTATGTAAAAATGATTTATTTTAACAGTTCACTGCAATCACACTGCGTATTTTAAACTTTTTTCTTCCATCTCACTGGAGAGTTGTTATTGATTAGCGTAAGTATCATTTTCAACAATATTTAACTGTTGTGATATCTCCTAAAACCAAGACAATAGATGTAATAGGTACTGAGAAATTACACAGCTACATTTATTCAAGTCTTTATTAATTGCTTTATTTTTTATCACAAGCACTTTTAAAACTCTCTTGCATCTATGGGTGGCTCCTGCTTTTATTACGGAGATATACATAAAAGGATCAGATCACAGAAAAGTATGCTAGAGCTGCTGCTTCTATGTGCTTTTAATTCAACTTGTTTATTTATGGATTCAGGTTTTCAGAAACAGGAAAAAACAAGCAAACAGAAAATCACGTATCAGGAAAAAGAAATTAGGAACTGCTGCTAGGGAATTTCCCAGCTCGCACCTCATCATCACTGGCTTCCATGGAAGAATCTGTAATGCTTCTGGAAAATCCCACTAGAAATTTCTGCTGGCTGTATTTAAGCATTTTAGGCTCACTACAAATAAGTTTATGACTGAGAAGATCTTCTCTCCCCTGATTGTAGTTAAAGGTCAAAACAGAATAACAGAATTTTCTACATTTTTACTGCCCTTTTACTCAGCTCTGAGAGAGCAACTCTAAATAGAAAAAATAATAAATGAAACAAAACAAACCACTGAAGTTCTCTAAAGTTAAGCTACAGATCAGATTAAAAATAAAAATGAATCCTTCTCTGCAGGCAATATAAGGCAAACTAATACGTGGAAAATGCAAGTATCATACTGCAGGCTGAAATCAACAAAGACTTGATGTTGTAAAGAATTTTATGAAATTAAGAAAACCTTTGAGATGATAAAAACCATTAAGACGTTTCTCCTTGTGGACTTATCATTTAAAATTTAAATGTCACTAGTTTAACAATTACTAAAATGACTTCGAAGACCCTAAGATATGGGACTTCAAAGGCCCTTCCTTGTGGAAGGAAGGGATGCCATTCAGAGGAAACTCAACAGACTTGAAAGATTGGCCCAGATGAACCTAACGAAGTTCAGCACAGAAAAGTGCAAGGTTTTGCACTTGGGCCAGAGGAATCCCAGCCATCCATACAGACTGGAAGGAGCGATCCCTTGAGAGCAGCCCTGCAGAGAAGAACCTCAGGATCCTGATAGATGAAAAGCTTAACATGAGCCAGCAGTGTGCTCTTGCAGCTTGGAAAGCAAATGGTATCCTGGGCTCCATCAGAAGAGGGGTGGCCAGCAGGGACAGAGACGTGATTGTCCCCCTCTCCTCTGCTCTTGTGAGGCCCCATCTGGAGTACTGCGTTCAGGTCTGGAGCCCCCAGTACAAGAAAGACAGGAAGATGTTGGAGAGGGTCCAGAGGAGGGCCACAATGATGATGAGGGGGCTGGAGCACCTCCCCTATGAAGACAGGCCGAGGGAGCTGGGCTGCAGGGTGACCTAATTGCAGTCTTTTGGTACCTAAAGGGAGCCTATAAACAGGAGGGGAGTCAACTCTTTGAATGGATAGATAACAGCAGGACAAGGGGAAACAGTTTTAAGTTGAGGGAGGGAAGATTTAGGTTGGATGTCAGGGGGAAATTCTTTACAGAGAGAGTGGTGAGGTGCTGGAACAGGCTGCCCAGAGAGATTGTGGATGCCCCATCCCTGGAGGTGTTCAAGGCCAGATTGGATGGGGCCCTGGGCAGCCTGGTCTGTATTAAATGGGGAGGTTGGTGGCCCTGCCTGTGGCAGGGGGTTGGAGATTCATGATCCTTGAGGTCCCTTCCAACCCTGGCCATTCTGTGATTCTGTGAAGATGGACGCTGCTAGGTTTGTATTTTAATGCTAAGAAGAATCATTTAAAAAGAGTAATCATCACCACAAAAAAACTGGGATGTTGCTACATCAATCTTACTCCCCCAAACTGAGAGCATTCTAGCATTTGTATTTCCCCTATCAGGTTTCTCAGATCAAGATTGATGCAGTTACATAAATGGAAATGCAGTTTGTATTTTGCCAAATAACAGAGTGGGAAGGCATATTCTGTTTCTCTCCTTTCTGTTTTAGTAGATTGAAGACATGATTAGAAGATGATGCAACATTATTTCAATAAATACAGATGAACTCACTTACATAATTTCAAATGAAATTTGTCAAAAAAACTTTCAGACAAGGTCAAAATCAATTAAGATGAAGAGAAAATGCATTTAAATCCTAATTACTCTAAATAAGTGGAACTCCTCCCATAGATTAAAAACAAAAAAAAAACAAAAAAAAACAAAAAAGGACCAACACAGATGCCAGATAGCAACTGAGAAAGGATACTGCAAATTTAGTTGGTAAGATTGAATGGCAGGTTTACCTGGTCCCAGAAGCGAGCCGTAAATTTTTTAAGAAGTACTACTACCATAACATCCTTTAAAGTATTTCCCAAGTTAGGAACGGTACTGTAGGTCAGGAAGGCATACAGAAGAAATAGCAGCTCATTAATGCTGAAGTGGGGCATTTTCTCCACAACCAGGTAACGCTGCCAGCTTGGCAATGCAATCATACTCCTACTGCTATTGCAGAGATCACAACTATGCCTTATGGTAAGATTTATCAGAAGCATCAGATGCACACAGACACAAGAGTCCTGGCGGTTTCTTTTCCAGACTTTCAGGGTAGGGATGGGCTTATGAAATAAGGAGTGTATTGTACTTATTAAACCTACTGATGAATATTCAACTTTTAAAGCAGCAGCCCATTAAGCGGTGTTTAAACAAAGAAGCAGTCACTGCCGCTCATTCCCACTCCTTCCTTCCTTCCTGCTGTTTTAACAGAAGCATTTATGCACCTGCAGAGAGAACAGGTTGAGGAAATTATTCTGCAGAAACAAGCCAGCAGAAAAACTCCATGGCTTTTTGGTTTTGGTCAGGTTATTTAAGTTGGATTGTTTCTCTGATCACATTTATACCGCAGCCATGCAAGCTGCTGTGCTGGCACATCTGCTGAGGTGTGAATAAACAGCAAGGGAGCAGCAGTTGCTGAAGCTATTTTTGACTTTGAAAACCATAGATCAGAAAGTCACACATAAATCATCTCTAGCCTTGACTACTAGAATTGCATTGCACTCACAAATTTGCCTGTTCTCTTCCAAACATTAACAACAACAGTCTTCTCTCCTGGAGAAGAGGAGGCTCAGAGGAAACCTCATTGCACTCTGCAACTTCCTGAAGAGAGGTTGGGATGAGGAGGGGTTTGGCCTCTTTTCCCAGGCAACAAATAGGACCTGAGGAAATGGCCACAAGCTGCTCCAGGGGAGACTGAAATTAGACATAAAGAAAAACTTTTTCTCTCAGAGAGTGGTCAGGCACTGGAATGGCTGCCCAGGGAGGTGGTGGAGTTGCTGTCCCTGGCAGTGCTCAAGAGGCGTCTGGATGAGGAGCTACGAGATATGGTTTAGTGCTTGTGGTAGCAATGGTAGTGGGAGGGCTGGATGATCTTGCAGGTCACTTCCAACCTTGTGATTCTATGATTCTATGAGCATTCTTCAAATTTGAGAAGTCCTTACAGACCAGGAAGACCTGCAGGGATACATGAATAGCTTTGTCTCTGGCCATACCATTTGCCTGACAGGTTGCTACACTTCAGGAAGTTGAGAGAAATGCTTTATCCTGAACGATGCATGCACTGGGAGAGATTCAGCTGATGATAATTACAAACAGATCTTTCTTTTAGAGGATGATGAACTCTTAAAATGCTCACAATAGCAGCTTGACCTCAATCACCTGACAAACTTTTAGATAAACAACATAAATTAAGATTTACATCCTGCACAACATGTAGTGTGGATGTGTGCCTTAGGACTTGGTCTGCCCTACTGGGTGCAATCAGAGACTGCTCAGAGGGTACAGAGGATTAAAAGCTTAAGAAATAACCTTCAAGATTAGTTACTCATTCTTTAAACACTTCACTGACTTTCCAAGAAATTCAGTCTGAGTAAGCATTATAAGACAAAATCATAAATAAGCCTTGTAAGCTTCCTTCTAGGCAGTTTTATTTCTACATATAGCTAAAAGCTGATGCAAGAAAACCTGTGTAGCTTTGTATAAAAGTACCTGGCAAGCCCAGAGGTTTGGAACTTTGACCCCTGGATCCTAATTCTCCACCACTGGACGTGAAGCAGAGTGTGTACTGTATGAAAGATGTTACAGGAATCATACATCTTAGTTGTGTAATTTATTATCCTCCACATAAGTTAATATATTGTTGGAAAATTATTTGTGCTACCCAAAGACAGTTTTAAGATTTTACCTTTAAGGAACTGTCTGCTGTCAGCAGTGCAATCTGTTTCTCTGAGACTTGACTTTCCACATACCTGATGGCAATGAAAAACAGGAACACAAAAATTACAATGTAGATTGAGCTTAAAAAGCTGTAAGATTAAAAAATTAAAAGCATTTATGCTGCCCTAAGGATTTACTTGAAAAGATTCAAAAAGGGACAGTCAGATCCAGCCAGTTGAAAGGCCACAAAAAAACCCTAGAGATTATGTTCCATGTCAGCTTAACAAGTCGAAGAGTGATTTATGGTTGCTTGTATTAATAGCTTGTTTCGGTATTAAGGACAAGAGGGAAAAACAGAGTACAAACCACAGAAGCTGTACTCTCTATACCAGAAAACTAAGGCTTCCAGAAATTACTGAGCACCATTCTCCTTTTGATAGATTTCTTTCTTTACACAAATGCACCAATAGCCCACGGTTTTCACACTTTACAGATTCCTTTCATTGTTCTCAAAGCTGACTGAACATAAGACTGTTCAAAAATTTATTTCACCTCTTACCTTCTAAAAGAGGGCAGTCTTCGAACGTTTTCACACTGATTATGTGATAAAGAATTTACTCTCCTCTTTGCTTCTTCCAGCTGGCAACACAGTATACTAAGAGGATTGGAATGGAAGTGCTCCACAATACAGAGCTGAAAAAGAAAGCAAGAACCAGCAATGATAAAAAAAAATTCATCCTTCCTGCTGTGTCTACTTTTCAAAGCATTCTTGTCACTAGGGTGTATACAGTACACAATGGCAGTAATGGCATTCCTTTAAAAAAAATTCATTACCGTTTGTAAACATTCCACAAGTCACGTCACTGCACTACACCGATTACAGAGCTTTAAATGCAGTCATGTAACTACCTTTTTTGCTCTATCTGCTATTCAAATTCAGTATCTCATCGTTTCCCCTCCTAGATCACCGTAACTACAGTTTGTCAAACACTTTCTATTCATTTATGCAAATTACTGCATTCTTTAGCTTACATATTCAGCTCCAATGTTCATAAATGTGTATATATTAAGACATGTAAATCAATTAGAGTATACAAGTAAACTTAGCACGTCCTCATTTCAATTTCTGTTTCATGCACACAAAAATACACCGCTAAGTTCTTACTATGCACAAATACAAATTCTCTGACACTGATCTTAGCTGTCTTAAATATTCCTTCTACCAGGGCCTTACAAAATCACAGCACGTGTTGATCGCATGTAGTCTTAAAAACAGACAGAAAACCTCACTAAAAATATTTAGGGCAATAACCATCAAAGGGAAGAGACACTTCCTGTCAGATATGTTAGTGTTACTCCTAGACATAACTGGGACCATGGTGATCCCTTGTGAACATCACTTAGGAAATCTGATCTGAAATTGCTTCCTTGATATTTTCTTGAGTACTTCAATGCACAAGGACACAGCCATACCCTGAGGACTAGGGTTTGTATTTCCACATCAGGCCAATGGGGAATCCTTAAATCCTGGCAACTCTTTCATCAAATAAGAGAAGCTGAATCTTAAAAATCAAAGAACCCTAGACACTCTAAATGCATATGATTTGAAAATATCAAGTTTTACTGGCACCAAGCAAAAAGAAACAAAATCCAGAGTTCTCAGAGAAGCCCACAAGGAATAAAAGCTACATTGAGACTCAGACGTGGAAATACCTCTATATACAAAGACAAGCCAAAAAAACCCATAGCCCGTATAATTTAAAACTATTATTATTATTTTAATAAACTTTACCAAGTCTTCCACTTTGTCTCCTGAGAGGGCAAATATAACTCCTGAATTGCTGCACAGCTGATCACAAGAATCACCTACTTTGAAGGAAGAAGCAAGTGACTCTATAGCTCCTATTTCTCTGAAAACCTAAGTGAATGCAGAAATTGCTCCAGGAGGACTTCTAGCATAGAGTGGGGAAGAGACGCTGCTGTAGCTGACTCATGACAAATCCAGCCCAAGAAGATCAAAGCAGCAACCTGACACCCAGTTGGAGGGTAGTGCCAAGGGTGTTTGAAGCTACAACTTAAACTACAACAAAAGAGAGGTGTTTCTACCCACTGTGGCAGGTCACACTAAATACATCTTTTAAATACAACTTTTTGTGGCAGAATGAGCTGTCTTATAAATGCTTGCTTACACCCAGTCCTGTAAGCTTTTGTTTGACACTCTGGCAGAGAAACACCCACCTGTTCACAGAACCAAGCTGTTTTCAAAGGGCATTTTTTTTCATCCACATCAATGACAGCAAGAATAGGAACCAGAAATATCTTTCAGTGTCTAGTAATCATGAATGAATCACACTTCATTTTCACTACCCATAATGCGAGTTCCTGTTACCATCGCCTACCTGAAATCCTTTGATAAAATTCTGGACAGAAAAATCATGGTAGAGGAATATGTTGATGAGAACCTGCAGAACTTTCTCACTCAGTTTAAGTGGAAACTGGGTTGTTAGAAGTACCTAAAGGGGACAAAAAGACATAAAAATTCTTTCCTGAATTCAACCCAGCAAAATTTATATTCACAATTCAATACAACTCTCAGCAAGCATTAGCATTTGACTAAATGAGATGCTGAATACGCTGCCAACTTCTAAAAACATATCTGCAAGGACAAACACACATGTAAAGACTGTCTTTCTGTTCATTATTTCACCATATTTTTCTAAGTTCCTTTTACTAATTAATGTGCAATGTTTCAGTTAGTTTTAGCTTAACATTATTTTTGTATTATTTTTTAAATTACAAACAACGGAAAGCAGATTGCTGTAACAACTGGGGATACTACTATTTTCAGCACATAAAACAGCAACTTTAGAAATCCTGACCAAAAGAGTACACGCAAGATCACATAAGTAGAGTGCTTATTTGAACTGACCACTTGGACAACTCTATTAACTTTTTACAGACTGTGGAATTCAAGCTGAACTGAGTTTTTCTGTTTTTAGGGCTATCCTTATCTAAACAAAGTGAAACTCGGATCAAAGCACTACTGTTCCCTAAAGAGGTGGGAAGGTCAAAGTAATAGCCCAAGCAAGTATGCACAGATGCCAGTTTAAATCAAAAATGAAAGCAGGTGTGTCTCAACTTAGGGAGGAAGCTCTTAGTACAAATAAGCTACTCTGCAGTTATGGATAGAAATATCCAAAATTCACATCTCTCAGGAACAGATTCCATTTCAAAAGCTTTAGACAAAGTTGTATGCATATGTTCACTGTGCTTGAATACGTACATTCTTCCTATTCAGAAAGGGAATTACCTTGTCAATTATAGTAGATAGGTGGTCCTTACAGGAAAGGGACTGGAAAAGCTCTATGCACAGCAGAGAGGAAACAGAGTGAGGAAGTAAGCTGTGGATAATCATTGGAGATGTAGCGATTCCAAAAATCAGTACAAGAGGAAATTCACCAATATGCTGACTATGGGAAGGAGGGGAGAAAAAACAACAACTTAACAGTCACATTACAGAAACTCATGAAATAAACACATTATGTTCCTACCACAGCACTGACCTCATATGACTTAGCTGCAATAAAGAAAAAAAACAGAAGTTTTGATGTGCAGTACAAGGAGAAAAAACACAAAAGGAAGCTACTTAAAGCCCTAAAACAAAAAACAAAATTAAATTATATTTTAGGATTCAAATTTCAGGAAGCAGCATAAAAAGCATCTTTTCCATTTCAGTATTGTACCGACCCATTCAGAGAACTAAATGTTAGCACTTAATTTTTTTTGCAGAGAAATAAAGAAAAATGAGAAGAGACTTTGAGCAGCCAACAGTCTCAAGAACATCTACAGATTTTACAGTATTTAATAACTGAACAATACAGTTGAAATCCCTCTGAAGTTCTATGTTCCCATTGCACTTGAAAAAGAATTTCAGCCTCTCCAGATTCAATCTTCCTCTTCAGATGGTTTTTTTTGGTATACCCTGTTAGCCCAGTCCCTGTTAGGACTGAGAGCTGCATTCACTGGGAACAGCATACAACTATTCATACAAAATACAATATTTGCAGTATTATTTTATCATTATATTCCTTTTTTTAATTGGAGTTTCAAGGGAACACGAATGCTGCTATCTTAAATCACTTCCAGGTTAAATTTGACAATTTATTCATTCTTTTATTGTCTCCTTGCTATAAACTTAAATACAAAAACAAAACTTTACATATTACTGCCCACTATTTGCAACCTAAAAGAATTTCAACAGAGAGAGAAATTTAATATTGTGATTAACAAATCAGAAGACTCTCTTCTTTACCCACTTCACCTTAATTATTAAACTGACATGTTTAAAACAAATGCAGAGAATAAATCTGAGTTCTGCAATTCACCCAAAGATCTTTTTAAAAGTATTGTGTAACTCTTTCCAGTTTTCATTTTATTCCTCTTCTCTTCTGCTTTAATCAAGCCAACTCCTAGTCATAAAAACAGCTGTGAAATTTTTTGAAACATGGTCTGTTTTAAAAGTCTATGTGCAACTAGTAGGCTGTGACAGACAAACTTCACTTCATCTGCACCCCACATGCTCATAATGAGGTATTTATCCTTGCCACAAAAAGCAAAATAGAGCACAGCACTTAAGAAACAATTAAACCTCATTTCCCACTGCCTTTCAGCCAATTATTTCGAGATAATTGTGATTTCTGATTTTACTTCTTGAAACGTTCCCCAGAGAACCCATCTGCCAGATTTGAAGTAGAAAACAATTTTATTGTGGGTCTCACAGCAAGTGAACTTGCATAGCCTTGTTTAGAGGTGACATCAGACGTGCATGCTGTAACTGCATTAACTCTACAACTGTGGCTCTGATCCTGCTGTAACTGCACTTTCAGCCAGGGTGCTCTTTTTGGAGAACTGTGGGGCTAATTATTGCAATGCAGGAGATGATTTTAAGGAAAACAGCACTAAGAAAGGGCAAAAGCACAGATGCACCTGAAGTAGTCTGTCACTGACAGCTCAATCAGCACTTCAAATAAGCAGCATCAAAATCTGCTCCAACTGCTACCAGCGGGGGCTGGTGATATTCCCTCATTTTTACACTTCTGATCAGCTGCAAATAGAAAACGAGTAACGGAGTGGAAGAGCAAAACTCATGACATTACCTGCTGATAACCACAAAGTCCTGAAGTACTTTCGTGGTGAAACTTTCCATGTCTTTGAAGATAACAACAACTGGAGGAGACTGCCAGTGTCTGGAAGATGTTCTTTTTTTGCCTGGAGTCTCAGAATCTGTTCTCTTTAAAGTCATTGGTTGCACATTAATAAACAGAAGGCAAACAAATAAAAAAGACTGAATCCCACATCTACAGTAATGTAATGTTCCAAAGTGACACAACCGACTTTTTTGATACAACTGTATTTATTAGAAGCATCAATAACTCCAATTTTCCTTCCTTCTGTTATGCAGAGCAGGAAAGGCAAAGAATATACAAACTAAGGAGAAACAATGGAACTGGGGCTGTTTAGTCTGGGGAAAAGGAGGCTGAGGGGAGATCTCTTTGCTCTCTCCAAATACATGAAAGGTGCTTACTCTGAGAGGGGAGTTGGTCTCTTCTCACTGGTGACAGGATGTGGGGAAATGGCCTTAAGTTGCGTCAGGGTAAGTTTAGGTTGGATATCAGGAAAAACTTCTTTATAGAAAGTGTTGTTAAGCCCTGGATTAGGCTCCCCAGGGAGATGGTTGAGTCACCATCCCTGGATGTGTTTAAAAACCATTTGGATGTGGTGCTCAGGAACATGATTTAGCAGAGAGTTGTTAGTTAGGGTAGTATGGTTAGGTTGTGGTTGGACTTGATGATCTGTAAGGTCTTTTCCAACCTGAACTATTCTATGATTCTATGATTCTATATGCCATTAAAGACAAAGACAATTCTGGGGCACAGAATCAGTAATGCTCTGCTGAGACGGTGGAACATTTTAGCTGGGGACATGGAAGCTGCCCATTCTCTATATATTTATACAGTAAAAAAAGAGTGTTCAGTCATGAAACTTTTACTTAACACGCTGCTCATAAAAATCACTTCTAGCTTTCATTCAAGACAGAAAAAAAAAAGCTTGAATAAAACATAAATAGCTTTATTAAATTCAAGGATAAAAAACATTTAGAAAGTTGTTTGTCATTGCTTTTCACTGTAGTATGGGTTGCAGATGACACAGTGCCACACCGGGCAGTGTGGTGTCTTTCCCCTAGAGGGCTATTCTCTCTTGAAGTTTTATTTTAATAAACATCCCAGCACTTCTGGGAGTAAAGCACCTAGCATGAAGTTGATATTGCATTTTAAGCTTCTGGCTCCCAAGTAAACATATTATAAAATAGCAGTATACCTATTTTTTTCCAGAATTCTGACATTCACGCCTCATCAGCAATGAACTCTGCATCTGTTACACATATTACAGACTTATATCGAATCTCCTCAATCTCAGCTGTTTCTTAGCATTAGATGAAAAGTTTACCTTCTGCATTTTTTCACTACTGCATATAATTTTGAGGTATTCAGTTTCCTTCTTTTAACGAATATAAAGGTCAGACATTTTTGTAAATGACACAAAAAAATCCTACCTTTGTTGCACTCTCATACCAGTTGATAAGAGAAGTCATCGAACAACGTACTCTAGTATGAGAAACCTGTTCATAGTCCTCCTCTTCTGATGAGCCCACATCTATACAGCAGTTCATCAGCTGTCCCAACAGCTTCTGCATCAGATTTTTTATGCCTTCACATTTTTTTAGAAATACGATAAAGACATTTGGTTAGTGGCCTACATCCTTAGCACTTCCTCAACTCATGCTCTAAGAAACTCCCCAATGTTTTATTTTTGACTTTTCTACCTAAACAGCAATAATTCACACTAAGATGTGGCCCCTTTCTTAAACTTCACACCTGCTGTCAGAATGACCTAAAAAAAATAAGCTAGAAGGCCACCAATAGATGTGGGGATACTGCCATGTGTTATTTAAATCTTTTCATTTAAATAATATTTTATATTCAAATAAGGAGCGGGACAGATTTGTTTCTACCCATTTCTTTGCTGCAATAATGTGAGTGTAAGCATTTAAAAGTGGAATGCATCTATACATCAACTGCTCAAACCAGAGGAAAGCCAACCTACAGTATTACCATGCACTACGCTAAGCAGCATGCTCTCAACATTCGTGCTACAACTAAACAGCAGTTCAATCTTCACTGTCTGAAACAGAACTAGACATCTTAAAGCACAGTAGGAATTCCTGCTTATTATCATGGGATTGAACAAATCTTTTGAAGGTGTTCAAAATCTCTCCATCTCAATATTCTTACATCTGGGACTAAAACTAGAATTACTATTTAATTGACAGATTATTCAGATGAAGAAGCAAAGCTATTGCAGTATTTACCTGGGCAATCTTTGGCTTCCAGCAACGCTATGTAAGGAGTGACATTATTCTGAAGGACTTCTGAGAGACTTCTAAAGGTGAAGTCGTGATCTGTAACATTCACACCTAAAAGAAAGATGATTTAAGTGCATATTTCCTGTGACTTGTGACCATGGTGACTGAATGATAAACTGCACTGCAGATCAAAAATAACCAGGAGATAACACAAATATTCAAGAAAGGAATGAAAAGCATCACTTCATCTGTGAGGACAGATGAAAAAACAGCACAAGACTGAACAAACATATTAATACCAGTCAGCTGAAAGGAACAGAGAGCTGTAAAGATGCCTAATGGAGAATTTTTCCTTACTTTTAATGAAAGATTTCTCAAAGCTGCAAACCTGCAGGGAATAGGATTGGTTTTCTAATTTCCCTGCCACTCATAACCTCAAAGACATCCACAGGCAACTAATCCCACAGATAAAAAGATGAAATTCACTTTCTCTAGGAGAGCAGCAATGCAGACCCCCGAGACCTGAATCCACACGGGATTTATGCAAGTAGGGAAATTGCTGTGAGTTTTTATGAACTACTGTCTGAATTAATTATGACCTACTCAACATTTACTGCCTTTGTTAACATCTTTAGACAAAAAAAAAGGATAGGGGAAGGGGACGGGGAAGGGGAGTCTCCAGAGGGCAAATCATAGCTTCTTTTCCACAGAAATATTCAGAGAAGGAACTTCTCACTTCCTCCTAGTTCCAAAAGCAGACTAAGCTTCCATTCTTTGTTAGTGTTGATATGATACATCTGTGGCACAGGTTTATGAACCAACAAAAACATTATCAGGTTGCCCTGAACCAGGTTTAGGTTTACAGTTACAACCATTTGAAAGGGGAAAAAAAAACAATGACTTCAGAACCTCACTAACTTCAGTCATAAGGCCTTCGGCTATTTTTCTCACCCTCTGCTCCTTTTCCAAGATAAAGATGCTGCTTTCCTACATGTAGAGATGCTCTGCAACAGTCAATTCATTAACATATATCAGAAATACAGAAGCTGCATAATTCCATGCTACAGGGATTAGTCATAGAAACCACCAAGGAAATTAGTGCCAGATATGGGATAGAATCAAAGCATCTCTATTGCATCATGAAAAAAACCCAAATCACAACTGGTTGCCTAAGATGAACCTCCAAGGAAGAAGCAGATTTATTGCACTAAGGTACTAAGCATACAGACAAAAATGGAAGCAGGTCAACTCTTGCTTCCTTCTCCCAGCGCAATCTCTTCTGTTAACATTCCTGAAGCTGACCTGGCCTGCACTGATTGCTGTAAATAAGTGAAATGATTCTCTTTGATCTCTGTATCAATGTCAAGGCTCTGTAAGAGTGCAGATGGACATAACAGAATGCATCTTTAAGAAGTTACCTAAGACAAGAGCCGCAGTAGGGATTTCTCTGGACTTCGTCCGCCACGTCCATTCTGTTGTCTTCTCTTGGAATGCAGAATGAGACCGCCTCAAAAAACTCACTAGGTTATCAAATAACTGTTCATTCAATTCTTCCTCTATTTGCTGTAAGGAGACAAAAAGAATTTCATCTATACAAATGTGGAAACACCAGAATATCCTTATTTTCCTACCCTTTTCCTGTATCAGTTTGCTCCTGAAAACTCCAGTGTTACATCTGGAGTAGCACTAGTGGTTTTTTCTTAGGAACAAGAAGTGACACACATAGCTGTGAACTTGATTTCAAACGAAGTCACAAAGGTTGGCTCAAGCTGAGGAAGCTACTAAGACAGGCAAAACCACATCTCCAGGATGCTGCACACCATGCCTGCACAAAACCCATTCAACTATTTTCCATTTTCCATTTCCATTTTCCAAGTTCCATTTCAACTACAGACATGAGTTCCTGGTGCACTCCTTGTAAAGGGCTGATAAACTGGTAAGAGAGTACACAAAAGCCTTTTCATCCTCTACTTATACAAAAATATTCTGACCTTTTTGATATTGACTGTCTGCCTCAGCTCATACCAGATAAATTATATGGTAACTGAGGGGAAATTGCAGCATGACATTTTAAAAAGATGAGTTCGTGCCATCAGCTTTATAACAGCGTCACACTAATTCCTATGTTACCATAGATCCCACAACAATCCTCAGAGCATCATCTTTCATATCCAACACACCATGAGCTTCTGATTGTTACTGCCCAGGTTTTCACTGAGCCAATCTAACAAGATTCTGAGTCCTCACGTTGCATGGTTACAGTTTCTATTATTTCTCCTACTGCACACTGTGAAGATGGAATTCAGACTGCCATAGTACTACATATTTACATAGCTTTCTTAGATCCATAGGGTTTTGTTTTGCTTTTTGTCAAAATAACTTTGTTATTTGCACTATTCTGGTAATTTCCACTAAGTATATTAGTCTGCTCTGCATCTCAGGCAACCAGCTCATTTACTTGCATGACACTGCTTACTCTGGAAAATTCGAAAACAAGATGAAAAATTGAACTGGAAGTTCAATCACTATTACAATACTAACCAGAGACTGAAAACCTTTATTTGCACCTTACAGCTCTAAAATAACCATGTTACAGCCCTGCACTTGGGATTTGTGTTTCTAATGTGGATCCTTGAAGTACGCCTGAAATTTGTCACCTTTGAAGAAGTGAATGTTTCTGAAAGCCCTTGATGTATAACAACATTTGCAAGACACTGTTAAAAGCAGTGGTTAAAATCAAGACAGCCTGCAACACTGGAACAGAAGAGGTCAAAAATACACATTCCATAAATCTAAAAGGGAGTACAGTGCTTTTACCAGCTTTTTGTGATGTGAGAAGCCTAAAAGGATGTCAGCACCAAATGCCACCACTGCAGCCCAGTTTATGATAGACACAAAGGCTGAGGGCTGCTACAACAAAGTACCTTCCCAGGTATCCTCTGCAGTATTCAATACCTCCATTAGAAACCAGAGAACTGGAAAAACACCAGCACAAGCACAGAGCCTCCCAACAAATCATTCAGGTAGCAGTACCCTGGCAAAAACTTTGGTCAATTTCCTGCTAGGCTTCCATAGCACACTAGAATCCCCAGAATATAAGTCCACACCAGCTATCCAAAATTCTACCATGGATAAGGTTTACTACACCAGAGTTACTGAAGAAATAAAATCTCGACTGGGTAAAACTCTTAGCTACCTCGTCTGACTTCACAAGTGATGCTACATAGAGCAGCAGCTCACAGAATGGCCAGGGTTGGAAAGGACCTCAAGGATCACGAAACTCCAAACCCCTGCCACATGCAGGGCCACCAACCTCCACATTCAATACTAGACCAGGCTGCCCAGGGCCCCAACCAATCTGGCCTTGAACACCTCCAGGGATGGGGCATCCACAACCTCTCTGGGCAGCCTGTTCCAGCACCTCACCACCCTCATAGTAAAGAGAGAGAAATTTAACTCACACTGAACATCTTCCAAACTGAATTATCACAATTATCCATATAGAAACAATTATCACCTCCAAGTTTTTCAAGAGTGGGATAAAAGGATAGTAATTCAGAACTCAGTGGGAAACATTACAGAGACCTCAGAAGCTTGATGAATAACATTTTATGTATAGCAGCAAAAATAACTGCAGGCAATCTGCCTTTTGGTTAATCAAACTAATCAAACTAAGGCAAAGCCCACATCAATTTGTCAGCTTAGGATGAAGTGTCTTCTACCAGGAAGAGAAAGAAAAGAAAGAGACACTCTTTCATAGATAACAATGGTAGGAGATTTGGGACTTGAAATAATTATGATTTTTCAGATGGCTCTGTGCTTCTACATATTTAAGGGAAGCTTTTTACCATGATGGCCATTCTGAGGCATATCTTTACAGAGCACTAGGAAAAAATCCTCACTGACCTGAAAACCCTGCAGCCACCTTTGCTACCTAGAAGCACTGTTTCAAAACCCTTGACAACACTGTGTCAAACAAAGAAGACTTAAGAAAAGGTCTTCCAGAAGGGGCTACAGCATGTTTTTTCCCCTGTAATTCCACTGTGCAACTGACAAGGCAGTTTCTTTCTGCTAGTGCTGGTGGCTAACCTGTCAAGCTGAAGCAGATGGCAGGTAGATGCCAAATACACCTCCAGAAGCCTCTGTGTATGCTCTGTAATAAGCACTGTGACATTGTGCACTGCTCTGCACACTGTGGTTAGTTACAGTTTGAAAAGGGTGCTGACTAGTCAAAGCAAGGTGGATTGTGGAACAGCAGACAGAGAACTAGAGGAATTTATGAGTTTAGCCTAAGGGTCTAAATTGTAAGCTTCATCCAGCTGGCTACTACTGTATATCCCAAAACAAACTTTGGGAAAAAAAACCCTCAACGTTCAGTGCCCAATAGTAGGCAGAGGAATATGGAATTCTTGCCCAGAATCCTTGACATCAAATAGAGGAGGAAATCCCTGCTGTACGGAAGCAATTATTAATACTCTAATACAAGCCAGCTGGCTATTCAAACACAACAGCATGCCATCTAACACACAATTAGGAGGCCACAGTTCAGTATGAAATTAACTCCCATCCCCACCAGACAAACCCACTGACATAGTCCATAGTAATTTAATAGACTAAGTGTACAGCTGTGTTGTTCAATATATGACACCCATACAGTTATATTCACATAAATCCATTGTGAATCTTGAGCTGCTGGGCTCTGTAACACTCAGGACACAAGGAGCTTAAAATCCTTAGGGGGCTGACAAGCACACAACTGAATTGGCGGTAGGAAAAAAAAAAAACAACAAAATTACGCCAGGAATTAATAAGTTCAATTAGTAAAAACATAAACTTAGAAGAAGCAGCTTGAAGCCTCAAAAGCATGTAGTGCTATGATCAGAAGTAATGCGTAATTGATGTATTTTCTATATTTATTATATCCTGTGTCTACATTTCTGGCTCTTTTATTGTTTTAATAAATTGTTTATTCAAGCATGAAAAAAAATAAAAATAAAAAAACAAACAAAGAAGTAAGCAGAACTGTCATAAATGCAAAATGCTGCTTTCATATCAGGTGCAAGACTCACCTCTGTTTCTGATTTGACCTGTTTCTGTAATGACTGGCAAGTAGCAAACCGTAGCTCACTGTCCTCCAAATCACTGTTTCCTTCTCTGAAATAGTCAGCTAGAAAGTAAACACAAGCGCAGATGAGATTATCAAGGCAAAACATTCTTTGCTGAGAAGAAAACAAAGGACTCAACTGAAGCAAGAATATCTTTTTATATATAAATACATACAAATATATAAACATGTAAGGGAGCTTAGCTGGTTATCTTAGCTAGTTAACTAACTGCTGGTATCTTGCTGAATGAGGGAAGAAATAGGCAGAATGTACTGCCCAACTATAGAGGCAAAAGTAGAAGAGGCTTCCACCTCAAGTCCCAGATACCTAAAGGCTGAAGTAAAGCAAAAAGCTGTTATTGTTATTTTACAAAATAAATAAATAAATAAAGTCTTTCCCTTCTTTCAGAAAATTTTGTGGGTCAGCTTCCCCCTTTAAATATTCTACCTTCCATCACTACTGCAGTCAGATATGAAGCACAAACGCTTGCAAAAATACGTTAAAGATCCTTTCTGCTCTCCCACGATAACTCAGTTAATACCAATTTCCAAAATACAGCAGAATACTGGGAAAGAACTGTTAGGTTACACGAAATATAGATTATTATCATTATTTTTAATCCATAACCTTAACTAACATAACTATGCCAACATAACCTTTAAGCTCAAACCAGACCTCATCTCCAAATTGCCTCTCATTTCTGTACATGCTGCTTATAGAAAGGAGAAACAAAATGTCCAAGATTGATCTAGAAGACCTTCAAGCCTTCAGAAATCAGATCCTTTTTTGGTAAGTGTCTTGGCACATTTCTGAAATGCATCTGGTTCCCCAGGTGCTCCTCTGCTTCACAAATCTGAGTACAGAAACTCTCCACCAGCTGCCAGCAAGAAAGGCAGAGCCAAAAATATAATCTGAGATTGAATAGAAACTAGTAAAACTGAGTGACATCCCTCTTGGCAATTTTTTTTTCTACCACCTTCACATAGTCTACATTTCCCTTAAAAATGAAAGAAATAAAGTAAAATAGGGCCCATCCCACTCTCAGCATCTATTTACAAGCTTGGTGCAGCCTTTAAGGCTTCTCTAGCACTACTTGGAAGAACACAAAGACTGAAGGTGAAGTAAGCAGTCTATTATCTTTAATATTGTCTTATAGTGAAAGGTAAGTTTCTTTCTAAAGATGTTTAAATAAAATTTTACAAGGTCCATTTCCCATCATTCAGCAGAGCATCAGCTGTGGTCTGATCTCTAAAGAACCATGTGATGAGCATATCCAATCTTCAAAATAATTAAAAGCCCAATGATGAATGAGATTGATGCCTAATCCTCCATTTTCCTTGGCTCCCCTAAACTAACAGCTGATTTACATCCCTAAGAAAAATGACTTCAATACACAACACACTTTGATAGCAGAAGCCTTATTCTTTTGAAGAGAATCTAGCCACCGTGTTTTTGTTATTATGCCAAAGCTTAATATTCTTTCTGTACTACCAAAACTCAAATTATAGGTGCAAACATGTAAAAAAGGCCAAACACGTGCAAGGTCAAAGATTATTATCAACCACAATTGAAACTTCACATTTTACAAGCTTCGGTTTCCAAATTCATCACATGCACAGCTAAGTTATGTGTTCTCAGCAACAGCTGTTAGTGGCACAGCAGCTCACTTCTGCTTCTCTCTTAGGTCAAATTCATTTTTTGGTGACAAAGTATGTGCTAACTGGAACATGTTTAGGAGGATTTACCCAAGTATTACAAATCTTGCAAAAACAGAAACCTCATATTCCATAAATCATAAAATTCCAATGTGGTTTTGAGTGCATAGGTCTGGGTTGTTAGTGTATTCACCTCGCAATGACTTGGAATGAGAGACTGGATTATATTCCTCTACCTCTCATTTCATGAGGCACAGGTGTGCCAACCCTTGTAGAAAAAAAATAACTTGGGATTAATTTTGAAGCAGGTGTTGTTTTAAGTCCCTCTGGTAATAAACGAACCTGTGGTGATTTCCAGAAGTCTGCCCATACTATTTTCCCTTCCTTTTTTTTTAATACACAAATTGTCACACTCCTTGACAGCTCTGGTGCTGCCAGGAAAGATCAAAAAGCTTTGAATCCGGGAATAAGAACAGCAATTTCCCTGAGCCACTCTCCAACAACTTATTTACGGTTCCAATAAGACTCAATCCCATTCAGTCTTTCACAAGTGACAAGAGACTTTATATAAACACATTCTGGGTTGGAGAAAAATACAAGAAAGTACATGGGATGTCCACACGTGGCTTTTGCTTAAGGTTATTGAGGAAAAGAAATAAACTACTGACAATAGTATAAGAACTACAAATGGAATGAATTTCTGAATCCCATAGCTTTAAGCGGCCCATTTGTAGTCTTCAGTCATTTCTCAGTCAGGAAATAATTTGAGGTAGCATAGAAATGAGTTCCCTTGTTAAAAAAAAAAAAAAAAAAGAGCAAAGATAAAGCTAGCTATACAATCTTGGTGGCTCAAGATGAAAAACAAATTACATTAATCAACTACTTGCTTGGGTATGTCTGAAGAAGTGAATTTTCACCAATATTGACATCAAGGAGCAATTCACATAGCCATGAAAGAATTCAACCAGGACGGAAGCTTCCAGGATTAACCCCCTCAAAGCACAACAACATATACCAAAGCGTACTAACCTGTTGTTCGAGACACCTTTCTCCTCTTGGGACTTGGTTTAAAAACAAAGCAGCCCTGGAGAATAGCAAGAAAAATAAAAACTTCAAAATCAGCATCAATCTGACTCCTGAGGCCACTTTGCTCCCTGCTAACCTTAGTGCTTCACTAAACCAACAAGTAGAAATGAACTGCCAGCATCCTATGGATACCAATTTGTTTATTGTACTTTATTTTCCTGTTTCAAGATGGAAAAGCAGTGGATGCAGTATCCCAGTCTCTCTGTGAGGAACCTGTTCACCTTTCAATTACGTTCTTCAACTCATCCAACAGGTAGAGCAGCAAGAAAGGAATCCTCGAACTTCTCACGCACCTTCATTCAATAAGCTTAAAAATAAGATGAAATGATTCTACAGGGACATATCAATGGAGTTTTCCCATTAAAGGTTCAGTTAGAAATAAAATAAAGCAAGAGGCTGGGATGAATGGAGGTGATCCAGAATAATGCAGTCACTTACAGAAGCCAACGATACCTCTCATCTACAGAGGCCAAGTTCATCCCAATTCAGAAAAGATCACAGAATCATAAAATCACAGAATGTCTTGGGTTAGAAGGGATCTTAAAGTCCACCCAGTTCCAACCCCCTGCCATGGGCAGAGTCATCACCCACCAGCTCAGGCTGCCCAGGGCTCCATCCAACCTGGTCTTGAATGCCTCCAGGGATGGGGCACCACAGTTTCTCTGGACAGCTTGTGCCGGTATCTCACTACCCTCTGAGTAAAGACTTTCTTAGAATTATAGAATCCTTAGAGTTGGACAAGACCTTTAAAGGTCATCTAGTCCAACTCCCTTGCAATGAGCAGGGACATCACAATTAGATCAGGTTGCCAAGGTTCTGGTCCAGCCTCGCCTTGAAAGTCTCTAGGGATGGGGCATCCACCACATCTCTGGGTAACCTGTTCCAGTGCCTCACCACCCTCACTGTAAGACTTTTTCCTTACATCCAACCAAAATCCACTCAACTATTTCTTCCTAATATCTAACCTAAATCTCCCCTCTTTTAGTTTAAAACCATTCCCCCTTGCCTTGTCACTATCAGTGTAAAAAGTTGGTGTCTACTGATTATCATGAAATCATTGAATGGTTTGGAGTGGAAGAGACCTTTAAGATTATCCGGTTCTGACTCCACTGCTACAGGCAGAGACACCTCCCATTATAAGCTCCCAAGTACTAGAAGACCATAGTGAGGTCTCCCCTCACTATTCCCCAACTCTGTGAGGTTACTGTGCTAGAGCAAGAGTGAAAAAAAACCACAGATGTTCAAGGTCTACAGCAGACTGATCCAATTGTTTATTTCCCAACAGAGACACTTGCATAAACAAAGACCACTGAACTCAACCAGAGATAGTTCAGCCAATGGTAAAAGAGTGATCAAGTAAAAGTAAAGCTTGAATGACGTTCAATATTGCTCACAGATGCTAGTCTGTTGGGTGACACTGGACATGTTATTTCTGTTCTGATCCAAATATGAACTCTAACACCAATACCTATACTGGCCTCTGAAAAACAGTCCTAGGAATCATAGAACTGCTTGAGTTGGAAGGGGTTCTTAAAGGCCATTTAGTCCAACTGCCCTGCAAGGAACATGGACATCCACAGCCAGATCAGGTTGCTCTGAATCTGGCTTGGCCTTGAATGTCTCCAAGGATGGGGCATTCACCACATCTCCAGGCAACCTGTTCCAGTGCCTCAACACTCTGAATGTAAAAACTTCTATATCCAATCTAAATCCTCCCTCTTTTAGTTTGAAACCACCTCCCCTTGTTCTATCACCACAGACCCCGCTGAAGAGCCTGTCCCCTTCTTTCTCATAGCCTCCCCTTAGATGCTGGAAGGCTGCTCTCTGAATGCTTTACAAGTGTTGTATTTCCAAACATCACTCAGCGTAGCAGAGCCCAGTATGTAAGATGGCCAAGTGCTACGTGGAAGATGTAGGACACAATGGACATAGGACCCTTCACTACTCATATACATAAAAGCAACAGCTGGTTTGAAAGGGAAATCCTCTTGCTCCGGGTTAAATACGAGCTTGGTCTGGAAGCAGCTCCCTTCGCTCCCGACAGCAGTAACTGCACGGTACTGAAGGCTCCCGTCGCACATCGCAGCTCAGCGGGAAACACGGGAAAAAGGCGCTATGCGATCACCGCCCCACCACAGGAAGTACCAGACTCGAGGCTGCAGCGCTGCAGCCCGGCTCCCCTCAGCCGCCCTCCGCCCGTACGTAGCCCTCCGCCGTCGGAGCGCGGCCGGCGGGAAAACAACGTCATTCCTCCCGCCCTCACCTTGGAGAGGGAGCGCGTGCTCATCTCGCCAGCCCCGCGCTAACGGACGGACGGCACCAGCAGGAGGGGCGGCAGCGCCCGGCGCTGACCCTCGGCGCATGCGCAGTAGGGGAGCGGCCAAGCCACCGCCTCTCGCGGAAAGGCGGGCGGCCCTCGGCGGGCGGAGCGGTGGGTCAAGGGGCGGTGCTGACCTCCCGCCTGTGGCGGCGGCATGGCGGCCTGCGCCTTTCGCAGGAGCATCGCCCGCCAGGTAGGCTGCCGCCGTAGCTGGGCGGTGGGGAGACTGCGCGCAGCGCTTCGTGGCTGCAGGGAGCGGGGTTTTTCTGGCGTCACAAAAGCTTTTTGTGCTTTTATTTTAAATGCAGCTCTCTGAAGTTTTGGATTTGCCACCGGAGAACTTAATAAAGTCCATCTCTGTGGTTCCTGTCTCCAGAAAACGGTAGTGTGTGCGATTAGCCCTGCCGTGCTGATCTCTGTTGTGCTTGTCGGTGCGAGGCTTTAACGGGTCTTACGGGAGAAAAAGAAACGCAGAAAGCCCTGAGCTAACGTACCAGCCCATCTATACGATGCCCAAATCCAATTAAACCACTATTGTTTTTTGTTTTTCAAGCAAGTTGCAATGTTTGCTTTAACATAGGCGATGCTTGAATGGCAAATGTTTCATATGAATGACCTCGGGGTGAAGTTATTGTGGGTTTTTTGCTTCATGACACGCTTGAGAGGTGTAATGGTAATAGCAGGTAAATGGCAACTACTCATGAGCATCGCCTTTGTTATTCTGAACTGGTAATCTTGGTGTATGTATTTGAGCACTGTATTAGTTAGAACGAAGGTCATACTGAGCCCTCAGATGTATTTTTCTGACCATGGTGTGTTCTCACATCTCTGTGACTGGGTTATGCTTGCCAACTGGACTTGCCGTACTCCGTGTCAGCTTGGATTTGTCAAATCTCCTCATCGTTTCAATATATTTCTTCCCCAATTTTCGTATGTTCTTTTCTTCAGGCATAATGCTGATTTCCAGCTTTCCATTGCTTCCATAGAAGAAGGCAGTTCTAGTGATTATGTGGCACAAGATCTTCAGCTTCGAGCTCAGAAGCTAGCTGAGAAGGTATGCTACCTTTAACAGGCCAGACTTCCAATCCCTTGTTGCTTGAGATTGAGGTTTGCTCAGAAGGGAAGTGTCTGTGTGGCCATTCCAGGCCATGGGAGATGTCAGTAGCTGAGACATTGAGAGTAACTACAGTATAAAAAAGAAGCAGCAGGTACACAAAACAAGATATCCAGAAGTGATTCAAGCCTTGAAGAAACAAAAGAGACAGGGAAGAAGATAAAAGTCTTTGAGGAGTTGGTGTGCATCATGTTGGAAGTGGGATCAGAAAGGTGATTCTAGGGTTTGAACAAGATCCTTCACAATCTACAAAGATGTGGCTGATGCCAGTGAACAGGAACGTGAACTAAGCAGTAGCAAAGTTAGTTGCAAAGAGGCACTAGCAAGAAAATAAAAGAGCAAAAGAGATTTAGAAAGTACAAGTTTTAGAAGCAGTCAGTAGGGTTGCTGTTTGATCAGGAGTTAACAAGGATGAATAAAACAATTGCAATGTTATTGAGATGCTGAACTGTTTCTTTGTTTCATTCTTCACTGCTGAGATGTTAAAGAGCTCCATACCTTAGAACCATTTTTGTAATAGGTGAATATTCTGACTTAGAGCAAGAGTTGGTGTTGCCCAGACAGATGTACCACCGAAAGTTTTGAACCAGCATTAAGATGATCTGGAATCACAGAGTAATCCTAGTTTGAAAGGGTTTCAGGAAGAGTTACCTGTAAGTTGCTGGCAGTTTTTGGATGAAGTTGCTCAGAAGTTTTGAAATCCACTCAGGTTTTATAAGCATCCAGGGATTTGACAGCCTCTGCGGGCATTCTGTCCAAGTGACTAGCATCATGGCAACAACTCTTTTGCAAGTGTCTTGTTTGTCACTTTAAAAACAGCCTGGTTCCCAATGATTAGAGAGTTGTAGATGTGTCTTCTTCCCTTATTGTTTGTGGCTCAATAAATAAATCTTGGCCACAAAGTTTTGTGTTTAGAGGGAGAAATGGTTGTAACTGCAAAAAGGAACAGACCATCAATATAAGCCTCCAAATTGTGCACACTGTGCTGGTTAACTGAAAGACATCAATGATATTTTTTTCCTAGAATGTTTTTTGTTGTGTAGTGGATAAAGGCAATGCATTTATTATCATTTCTTTAGACTGATCACATCATCACTCCACAAAGAAGATGAACAGTGTAGAAATAAACCAAATAGAACTGTTATGTGCAAAACTAGCATTGGAATAGAGAAATGTACGCAGTGATGAGTTTTTGTTGTGATAAGTAGTTGATAGTTCCTCAAGGTTCAATAGTATGGCCTTAGTGTCTTAAGGGGAAATAGGTCACAGCATTTGAAATGTGGATATTTAGGTTAGAACGGGTGAGACTAAAACAGTTCTTGTTGACTAAAGTAGCCTAAATAATGCAATGTGATGCTAAATGGAGCATAATATGCTCTGATATGCTGAGAATTGCCTGTCAGAATTTAGGCAAAATATTTATTGGCTTTTGATTTTTATCTGTGGATTTTTGCTTCATCTCTGAACTGTTAGTTCTTTGCTGAGGGGAAACTTTTTTCATTATCATTATTATTATTTGAGTGCCTCTACATAGCATAAAGGCACTATGACCCAAGTCTCAGACATGAGGAGGTCTGGTTACTGTAGAACTATATCATACTTGGAGGAAAGGTTCTTAAAGCTATGGAGAGGTCAAGTGAGCACTCAAAACTAAAGAGAGATGAAAAACACTGGAATACTAAATGACAGCTTATATAGAAAACGTTTAGCAGAGCAAACAGTATGGAGCAAGTGCAGTGGGAATTTTTGTCTGCCTCTTAATGTTGGTAAAAAGGACCTTCAGTAAAATGTAAAGGTGGGAAATTCTGAGTCAATCCAAGAAATATTTATTCATGTAGCTCATAAATAAACAGTAGAATTTGTTATTGTTGGAGCTTGTAAAGGTTAAAGAACTTAGATCCTAACTGTGATTGCATCTCCTGTTTAAGTCATGTTCTAAACACAAAAGCTATAAAAGAAGTATAATTTCTTCCTTGTGCTGATGTGCTTCAGTCAGAATTAATAACTTGCCTGTCTTTCTCATAGGCATTAACCAATTTGTGTGTGATTGGTTATTTTATTGTTAGTTATTGTAGGAAATTTCTTGGCTCCCAGATGTAGCTAGTTTAGTAAGGAAGAGACCCAAACTCAACCTGTAAAGAAGCAAAATTTGTTTAAAGAGGAGGTTGCTCACAGTCAAAATAAAACACAAACTGGGCACAAGCAAGGACTGAAAATAAATGTGTGATGTTTCACACTGAGTTTTGCATTGAATAGTCAAAGCTAGTAAGCATGGATTAGAAATAATCAAATCATTCTTTATCAGGGGGATTGATTCAATCAACCACTTATAGTTGCTTTCAATCAGATAAATAAAGTTAGCTTAATCTAGTGTGGATATTAAATTTTGAATGGATTGAATTTAAATTTCCCTGTTTACCTGTTTTCATGGGGAGTGACTGTTTTATCTTGTTCTTACAGCTAAAATGTGATGCTGTAGTGAGTGAAATCAGCACTGGTCCAGGAACAGTGAACTTCACAATAAACAGGGAATTGCTAGCTAAGGTGAGTACAATATTTCATGCATGTTAAGGTAAAAATAAGTTCCTGAATATAAAATACTCAGTTTTAGATATTTTCTATGTAGAACTGCTTGTTTTTCATAGATTTTCTCCAGGGATCCCTGATGTTGTTCCATTATGTAGGTCTAGAATTCAGAAAGAGGGTTACAGAGGTGTATCTTTTTGAGGAAACAGTGTATCTATCCTTTGTGATAACCACATTCTTTTCTTTCTTCCCTGTTTCTGCCATGTGCTTTGAGTTTCTGAGTTCAAGATTTTGATCTTGCATATAAAGAGTCTTGCTTAAGATAGAAAGGATGATAAAAAAGATATCTGAAATAACAATATTTGACTACAGATCTACTGTTAGAACAACAACAAAAAGGAAGATGTGTTTCTCAAAGACCAATGTCTGACTGAAAATGAAAGCTTAATTTGTTAAACCAGTAATTTAGCATGCTCAATCTATAAGAGCAGTGTTTCAGTTGCACTCAGTCTGGATTATTTGCAAGAGCTTCATAAGGACAGGTGGCACTGTTAGACTGGGACTGGCTGGCACTGTTGGACTGGGAAGTGAATGAAAGCATTGCTAAGCCAGTTGAACTAACTTGGGAAGCAAGCTCCATTGTTGTTCTTCGGGGTCTTAATCTAAGCAGTTCTTGTGGAAACAACACTGTGGTCTTAGAAAATAAGCTTTCTGAGTAGGAAATCAGATCTTACCTAATACTCATGAAGCTCCCTTCCTATCAGGACTTCCACTGAATCACTTGAGTTTGTAGCTGTCTTTTACTGAGTGATAAGTCTGTTCTTGTGAATTGCTAATGCTTAGGCATTCCTATTAATCAGTTGCTTTATTTGTTACCAAAGACATCTCTTGAGATTTTCATCAGCTGTCTGTAATCCATCACGATCAGAACATAACAGCTGACTATTTGCTGAAAGAACGGTGTTGGTGTTGAATTTTATTCCTGGGCAGGGTTTGACAAGATGCTGTGTCCGTAGGTGGATTCTTGTCAGTATAATGGTTCAAGCAAAACTACATGTCTGGCACAGTTGAGTTTTGTTGGAAAAAATGTGGAAGTAGAACACAAAGTTTTACATTATATCACTAAGGAGATATGACTAAACTGTGGCTTTCACTAATAAGGAAAACATATATACTGTAAATTTGATATTTGTGTGTGTCTAGCTCACCTTATGTGTCATAATGACCACTGCATTAAAGATTTCTCTACAAGCACAGTTCACTTATTCTACTTTGATTTCTATCGCCAAACAGTTTTAAGATGACCTCAGGGGTGGGTAAAAAACCAACTTTCCACTGAATGGAATGAGATTTCTACTTGAGTTCAGATTGTTAGAGGCCTGTATTATCTCCAGGAAGTTTGTACAGTAGTTAGAGCTTTGTTTATTA